TTTTATTTTAATCCGTGCATTGGTTTCGGGATTATTAAGTAATAAATTCTTCAAAAACTTTCACGTTGTATAGGGTTAATTAAGTTTATAATATATGTGCCAGAAGAGTGTTCTGGTTATATTATTATACTAGCCTAAAACACATAGATCACTCTAGTCCGCAAGTGGCCTGTGTTGTTCTATGCTTAAAACATTACTCAAATGTAAGGTAAGATAAGATTTAGGGTTACTGACACGGCCATAATCTTGAAGCCTCTCTTTTTTTTTCAAATATTATGAAAATAACCCTTTCTGGTTGTGTACGAGTATGTTTAGTACGTGTTTTTTATTGTAAAGCGGCTTTTACTCATACCAACAACCCTCTTATATGAGCTGATCTCTTGGAAATCGTTTCCCAGTGTAAAAATATATTAGTACATTTCCCTACCGCTTCTGTAATTAAAGTATGCATTGCTATAATTTGACTAGTTACTTATTGAAATAAATCATTCATCGAACATTTAAACCCTAAAAAGTTATAGTATACGCAGAAGCGTATTTATTATTCCTTATTTCTATGAACTTCGAACCCTTAGAAAAGTGTCCGAAGTTCATAGAAATAAGGTTTGAAGGTTGTCCCTGTTAAGGTTCTTTAACCGAGTCTCTAAAAGTTCTTTTTTCACAAACTGTTTCATTTTAACATAAGTACATAGTGTATACCTATAATTGGTAACTAAAAGTAATTAATAATAAAACTAGAGTGAGATAAGAGGATAGTGAAAGTTCGTTTTTATTGTAAAAATATTAGTGGGCGCGCTCTCAGCACGTCATTAATTAATCACAGTTTTTTTACGTCTAAATCACTTTGCTTGGCGTAACGCTAAAACAATTGCTTTACGAATTATGGGAATCAGTTCACACAAAACGGTCTGTTTAGGGGATATTGCGTCACACCTATTTTATTTTATCTTTTTGGACTGTGGTTTAAGAAACAGTTACTTTGAGTAGTACTGTAAATTGTTGAATATACGTAAGTCTAACACATGGAATCCCGCTACCAATACAATAAACAATTGACGCAGAAAACCTAACCAAAACTATAAAAGATTTATATCTATGGACAATACGCAAACTTCACCTAAATACTATTAATGCTATTAAATGATCCAGAAAATAGTTACTTTACGGCAATTAACGCGGTCAAAATGTAATAGGTACATACCTTTCAATTGCCTGGCGTGTCGACCAGCTTCCACTGGCTTTGGTCATCAGGTCAGGTCATTGGTAAGGCCAATGCGCGTGAACGCGTTAGTTTAAAAGATAATGAGTTATGAGTTGTGCTGAGTTGATCTCTTGGAAAGGTTTTCACTGTGTATATCATTTCAAGACTAATGTAATAATTATTAAAATTAATGAAAAAACCTTCATGAAAAGAGCGTACTCCTTCCTAAAAGGCCGGCAACGCGTTTTGGACTCGAGTTGAGACGAGTTGCAGACGTTCATGGGCAGCGATGGTCACTTTCCATCTGCTCGTCTGCCCCCTCTATATACATGCTGCCCACCTACATAAAAAAAATAAAAATAGTAGGGACTCCATACTAAGTGTGCAAATTGGAGAATATAAGGCTTTTTCGAATTCATCAATTACTTTAATTCACTTTGAAAAATGTTGCACTGCGAAATGACAATGACAAAAAAGGACCTAAAATTAATAGCTTTGAAAAAAAAAGCGTAACTTTAAAAAAAGAAAAGTCATTTTAATTGTATGAGCATTCATGATCAGTTGGTACTAATTAATTTAAACATTTCTTTCTTTAGTAAATAAATTCGCTTAATGTTTTATATTCATTCTAATTCAATCATCTTTTGTATGACTGCTCACAACTGTAACTGTTTTCTGATTGAATTGCAATCAGAATCAGCAGAGCAGCTATAATAGCTTATAACCAGACCTTGAAATTATTGAACATATACTTAGTTACAATATATCTCGCAGAATTAGGGTATTGAATTCTCTAAGCTCGTATATTTCTATTTTATAAAATTAAGTGATTTTTAATCGTTTGTCGTATTTTTTTAACGTATCGTTCATCATATCAAACTGCCAGGGATAAAGCAAAGGGCATAAAATTCCTTAAAAAATGGGATCTTTATTTATGGCAAAAAATACTTTTAGGTACACGATTAAATGCTAGTAATGAATAAACAAAAACAGTTTTAAAAAACACTTTCAATATAGAGTTATAAACTACTAGTGTAGTAGCAGTAATCTCTTGGAGCAAGTTGTTTTCTCTTTATATACAGGGAAAATATAAACACAGGGACAAGAACAAGTAGTAAAGCGAAATGTTATCATTATGGCATCTGCGTGGACGGGACCAAGCCCACTGCGCTACACAGCCAGGTAAATGAAACGTGAAATCCTCAAGCCACATTTTACATTCCTCACGCCCGTAGCAAAAACATCTTGTGGAGTCCCACGGAGCCTCCGTTTGCAAATGGGCACCTTTTAGTATTCTAAGCGTGTGTTCATGCTAATCTCAAGGTAAATTGAGACTTTTAGTTTGTTTTGTCAAATGGCTTTGGAATTTTCGGATTGGATCATATTGGCAAACATGTTTTTTTGACAAACGCATTGAATGATGGCATGGATTATTAGTATAGTCGTAGGTATTTGTGCTTACTTTTAAATATTATATCGATAATATATAGGTAGCCGTAGCAATTTAAATGTATCTCAATGATTATGTGTATGTATTTTAATGGCTGTGTGGAATGACCTGAGATAAATAAATTAAAAAGTACTTTTATAACACCATGCCTAGTATTTTTTCATATGCATTGTAAAAAAATCGATCTTAAAATTTTAAACACCTAAACACATGAGAAATATCCAAAAGATATAAAGAAAATAGCCATTCCTAATTTAATAGTAGCATTGTCGACTCCTGGAAGCTAATGTTATCAATCGTATTAACTAAGTAGGTATGTTTAAGCAAACGAGTGTGAATGTTAGTTGCTTAGTTAAAAGCCATGCAAAATATTCTCGCCAGTGCAACTATATAAATAAATTTGGTATAAATACCGATAACTGTTTTTTTAATGCTTATACCTATTTCACCTCACTACAATTCAATATACACATAATACGGACATATAAATAGGTCTACAGTATATAATATGTCTCTCAAAATCTAAACAAAACTTTCTGTTTTTTTAGTTTGTACCTGTTTTGATGAGTGTATAGATTAAGATTAAGAATACGGACTGTCACTACACTTACCACCCCTATTTATCTGGTGGGTGTCGTAAGAGCCAACCAAGGTAGCAAACAACGCAGGACAACAGCACTGCAAAGAGGAAGAAATAACAAACCCTACACCAACCCGTCAGCGTGGTATAGTAGGCCAAAACCTCCTTTCTAAGGCTCTCCTTAGGCCTATGTCCAGCAGTGGACTATAAAGGGCTGTTGATGATGAAGATTAAAAAAATGAATAAGTTATGCCAAAATAAATCTCACTGTGGTAAAGGATAACAATTCATTTTAATATTTTGTTGAGAATCTGTATCTGGCATCTTTAATGAGCGTATACAGCGGGCTATAATAGAACTATTAGACTTCAATTTAACCGCAAAAGCTGGCAAACTTACAGTAGGCTCTGGCAGTTGATGTTCCTTCACAGCTTCAATTATCATCCCTTTAAGGTATTTATTACATTAATTTTTAATAAGAAACACCAAAAAGTATCCACTTTATGATCACTTCACACAGAGCACATGTATGTCGTTGGAATAGCAACTATTGTTGTCGTAAAGAAATCGCGGAATTACTTCGAAATGAAAATCAACGTCCGGCGTGTTTTAAGGTAATATAGTGACTGGCGTGCTGGCGTGCGTTTGTCGCGCCTGGAGGCGTTTGCGCAGCCTTCACCAGTGGAAAGTTCATCGAACGAGTAGCTCCCGCGCAAAGTGCGACGTAGCGGCATGCGATCACATGAGAAAAAGCCTTTGAGAAATGTTACCTAGTTTGCCTAATGTGCTATGTTCCCGTATTTTGAAGTGTTTTTAAGCGATCTATGTTAGCGATATCCGTAATAATAAGTAAAAGGTGTCACAAGTATGAAAAAAGAAGGTTATTTTATCGCAGTATATCATGAAGTTGGTATTTAAAACTTATGGCACTCATGATTGAAGTAGGTACCTATGATCCCACGAATGATCACATCCATAGGCACAATTGGCATCGTTGGCACAATTGGCTTTCGTAAGCACACACGGTCCTCATACACTTATGTCACACTGTAAGTTGGAGGTTTATAGTCTCTTGGGAATCTGTATTAGAGGAAGGGAATGCTCGGTGTTGCTTTGTACAGAACAGTGTCCATTAGCCTCTATGTGAATATATGAGTCTGGGAGAGACTTAGATTTTTCCCGATCCGTCAGGTCCGGGAACGGCCAGGTACCGCAGGCGGCTCAGGCGCCGCAAATCTGGATGACCTCCATAAGCAGCCATCTGTCACCCTAGTAGAAGCAGGCCAGCAATGTGTACAAAAATTAATTAACTTGTCGAAAACTAATAACTTTTTAATGTCACATTATTATCTAATAACATTATTACTTTGGAAATTTCTGTATTTGGCATAACTTAAAGATGATAATTAACAGTATCCAATTAACAGAATTAAGTGGATTCGTTTACTAGTCATTACAGATTAAAGACTATGCACGGTATTGGAATACTATATCCTGAGTTTAAGTAGAACACTAAGTGAAATTGGAAATATGTTGTGCAAATCAGGCTTATTCGATTTCAGTTAAAGTAAATCACTAGGTTTCAACCTCATAAACATTAACGAAACAACTAAACGCTATTTTATCTCTGACTGAAATAAGTGATAATCTGTCATGTGTCAACTGTCCGGATACGATACGAATGAGTCGTGACTTTCAGTTTCTCCAAAGTTTAAGTGAATTTTCAATTGTTTTCGGCACACCAGTATTCCTTTTGGAAATACTCAATAATGCCTAAAGTTTCAGGTAACTTTTGAATACAATTCTTATTAGTTCAATATGATATTTGTGTGAAAGCATTGAGGTTATAGTTTTATTGCAACTGTCATTTATTCAAGTTTTAATTTACCTTCAGCAAGTATTTGATGATTTGTTTATGTCAAAAATAATAATACAATAATATAAAAAAAAAGTGCACATATTAATTTTACTAGTTTTACACTATACAAAATTGCCGCGTCACTGCACCTACCTTTGTAATTTCGTATAGCTACCGGCACTTTTAATGTTTGTCGTATAAATTCGACTTGGACGCATTATGACAGGAGATAATTTCACAAAAGTAATTTCATATTTTATTCTGATTCACTCTATTAGGTGCTAAAAATCCGTAATCAAGAAGTAGGGGTGAAAAACTTCTCTTTATAAGAATATCCATCCACAAGACATCTTTTCATAAAAAAATATTTAAGAGATACTTTTTTTTTGGATTTATCACATCCTTATAAATACTAAATCACATTCATATTATATTACAAAGGTTATTTATCCAATCAACATATAAGTATATTTATGTGGGTGTAGAATCTTTTGTACAGTTCTTTATTATATAAAAAAATTACCTGCTGCCAGTCAACATTCATTCATTCTCTCTACAAAATATTGTACATATATGTATCACTGTTACAAAAAACCCACGTTTTTTGTGTTAGGTATGACAATGCCAAAAGATACAATAAAGGTATATCAAATACATAAAACACTCCTTAGTAATATTTACAAGAAACTTACTTGCCAAACTGCATATCAGTACAATCACACTGTATTTTCTATTTATTTATAATTAATTTTTTTTTATTATGTAAGTGTATCTATTAACTGAAACCAAGGATGTCTCTTATTAGGTTGCTAAATCTATTATAGAAGTGTTCTTCTCAATACAGAGTGCCAAGTGTGAGTTTATTTCACTCTACTCAAGTGTCAAGGTGACCGCGTTTGGCACTACGATTGGTGCACACTGAAATCTCAACCAATCCGAACGCCAAACACTCTCGCCGTTACGAGTAAGTTGATATGAAATAAACTTGCACTCAGGCCTCAGTTTGACTGTGGCTATGAGGATACAGAAAAATTATAACCAATCTAAAATTGAATATTTTTATGTTGTAGCTAAATTATAAATGTAATACTTATCCTAATAATACTTTAAAGTGTAATAAATTATTGAATAAAATATAAACACACATTTATGAATACACACACCCACACAATGTGATTACTTTGTCTATGATTATTTTGTTAATGGGGTAATCTTATTTGATTAATTATTTTTATTCTGAAAAACTAATTTTAAGCATTTATTTTTCACTACACTTTATGGCCTTCTGATGATCTGAAGTGGTGTGGGCCTGATGACCAGTAACAGGCACAATGCACAAACATTTACATTCATCCAAATAATTGATTTTGTGCACTTTGTATATTTGTAATGAGAAATAAAGATGATTATTAATCAAATAACTTTTAACAACACCTTTATTCTTTGAACTACTGAACTGCCCTTAATCAAGCTGCTGTTTCCTTTCTTATAATTGTTTTATTTTTTCAGTAAAAGTAAAGTGGGGAAAGGAGTTGTACCCAGGTGTAGAGGTGAACACAGATGATGATCCCGTTGTGTTTAAGGCACAAATCTTTGCTTTAACTGGTATTCAACCTGAAAGGCAGAAAGTTGTCTGTAAAGGAGTGACATTGAGGGATGATTCATGGGGTCCGTTTAAATTAACTAATGTAAGTGATATGTTTAGTAACTGAAGTCCTAATTGTGTCTTTTTTTAACCTTTAAAAATGTCATGAAACATCAGATCAACTATATCATATTGTTTCTCTTGTTTATTTTACTATTAGAAACAGGCTATTTGCCATTTATCTGTATAAAAATGGATTAACAGTGTCACCACCTCTATATGTGTGTGCTACCCATGTGTGTTGTAAGAGCCGACTAAGGGAGCAAACTGTACAGGACAACAGCACTGCAAAGAGAAAACTTAAAACAAACCCTATGCCAGCTCGTCTGGCCAGCATGGTAAAGTAGGCCAAAACATCATTTTTAAAGAGAGTCCAGTCAGTGGAATACTAAAGGCTGTTGATGGCGATGATGATGCAAATCATCATCTTCATCATGTTTATGTTTTGGCATTGTTGCAAATGCCACAAATACAGAAAGGATAAACAGTTCATCTGTAATCATGGCTTACAACAGTATGCCATTTGTAATAACTTATCAAGTGCAAATGAAAACAGTAATTTAAGTCAATTCTACTGGTTTCATTATTTTTTTTTAATGTCTATAAGCTCTTCTTTTGTTTATAAAAATTTAGTTTATTTAATTTCTTCTTCTTTTTCCAATCTACAATGATTTCTGGTTTGCAGTTTTAGATGATTTTATCTTAAATGGTCCGTTTTTTTGGTGCATATTGGTCTGTGTCAATCTATATCTTACCATTCTATGGTTGCTGTTGAAGTTGAGGTTGTTTATTACTCTACAATTCTTTAATTTTGAGAGTTCCATCATGTCAGATTCCACAAGCCTGCCTCTTTTAACTTGCATAATTGGACATTTATATACACTAAATTCCTTCAATTATTCATTAATATCATTTTGTTTTTCAATTTCTTTTTACTTCTAATGATGAGTGATGGTTATTTCCAATCAATATAATAGTTTAATATGAAACTCCAAACCTTTGAAGTTGGAGATTTTTAAAACCAACATTTTCAGATTTAATTATTTCTAATACTCTTAAACAAGTAAATTTTATTCGAAAACCATGTTATTTCAATTTAAAATTCCGTCATTTGTTTTCGATGTTTTTGTGAAATTGTGGTAGTTTTTGGCGACACAGATTAACTTAAAATTCGTACAATTTTCGAATATGAGTTCCTACGTCGAAATATCGCTGCGCAAACAACACGAAACATTAACTATGTGTACGGGCCTAACCCACCTGCTTGCCTTAACGCGGTCCATTATTGGTTCAATCGTGTTAGAGCTGGAAATTTGAGTTCAAAAACGAACATTGCAGTCGGCCGGTAACTATAGTCGACAATAGTGAAAGCGGATCTAACTCTGCTGTGAGAGTAAGTAGTGTCAAAACAGCATTTAAGCACTTGCGTCAAATTAGCAAGATAAAAACTAGATAAGTGGGTGCCCAATGAACTAAGCGACCGAATCGGCATAGAAACGAGGGAATTCCGAATCGAATTGTTACCTGCGATGAAAAGTGGATACTTACGACAACCGTAAACGTTCGTCTCAGTTAATGGACCCAGGTACAGCACCTAATCAGTGCACTAAAAAAAAGATTACTCATAGGAATATGATGGTGACTGTCTGGTGGACCAGACTTGTTCATCACAGCTTCTTACTGAATCGCACAACAGTGACGTCAGATGTATATTGATAATGATGGAAAAGCTCGCAATTTAACGATCACGACTGGCCAATCGCTCTTGCCCATTGCTTCTCTACGACAGTGCACTAGCTCACACTTCACGATAGACCATCGCAAAACCACAAGAGTTACAGCTGGAAGCTCTCTTTCACCCACTATACTCATCGGACCTTGCCTCAACAGACATCTACCTTTTTCAAAAAATCAACACCCAAGCAACAGTACAAAACGCTTTCGCTGAATTCATTGCCTCCAGTCGCCAATCCAGCAGACTTCTACAGTAAAGGGGTAAACAAACTGCCATCAAAATCTTAAAAAGTTTGAATATTTTATTTCATTGGTTTGTCAATTAAGGTTGAGTAGAAAGACCATTTTTTGGATAATGGATCATGGAGAATAAATTTGTATAATTGACCACATTCCTTTATTGGTATTTGTCTTTTCACATATACACATTATATGTAGAAACATCGAGACCAATGCAAAAAGACATAATAAATTCATGCATATAAATATTTGGGGTTCGTGGACATTGAACCTGTGACCTCTAACCTTGCAGTTGCATGTACAATATTATTGGGTTTAATATATACATCATCATCATCAACAGCCTATAATAGTCCACTGCTATATTATTTAGGAATTATAATTACCAGCCATAATAATTATAGTAATGATTTCAGAATGCTTTGGTGCTAGTTATGGGAAGTAAGGAGGAAGATGTGCCTGCGACTCCTTCAGTACCAACCCGGTTTGTTGAGGACATGAATGAGGCTGAACTAGCCACAGTGGTAAGTTGTCCTTTTTTATATACTAATAATAAGTATGACTCTGTACCGCAAATGTGGTCAGGGCCCAAGGGTGATAGATTTGTACAAGATTAACATAACTCTGCACTTTTCTAGAGTCATATATGCAGAAATAGAGAACAGTCCCTTATGGTTCTGCTTAGCTTGGAATCCTCTAAGCATTAAGAGAGGAGGTAAGGTGATATCCCACATCCTTTTCATGAATGCTGTAAGATTACTATAAATAACTAAAACCTTTACAAAATGTATCAAGATGGAATTTAGTGTATATAGTGCAATTATGCAAATAAGAAAGGCAGATTTGTGGCGTCAGAGAGAATGAAACTCAGATTCCACGATCTTAAGATGTCTCTCAGCCAACGAAACTTACGTCCCTAGGTCTGTCACAAGCAGTAGGTAGGTATAATGATTACCAGATACTGAATGCATCATCCACGTTCATCGGTAGTGAGGTTGTATATTCAACGAAAATGTCAGGGTCGTGTTTTGTTAAATGCCAAGACTCTCCATAATCGTGAGATATGCAACCTTAGAAATTACTTGCCTCCACATGCGGGTGTGCATTTGGAGGTGGTCTGTCGGTCTCTGAACCACAGTCTCACAGAACACCGGTGTTAATAAATGTTTTCGTAAAGAAATCTAAATTAAAATAATTTTAAATACTTTGGTTTTAGATGGACATGCCAGAAGGTCTCATAAACTTGGGTAATACATGCTACATGAATGCAACAGTACAGTGCCTCAAGACGGTACCAGAACTGCAGACTGCCTTAAATCGATATGAAAATAGTAAGAACTAAATGCAAATCTCTTAGTTTCTTTTTTTCTTCTTTGCTTGTTTTGTTAATAATGGTAGTACATTGCGAATTTCTTAATTATGCTCATCAATAGTGATATTACTTAGATTTCCAGCTCCGTCATAAATTTATTTTTGTCTGTGACTCAATGAGTATTAGTATTCTAGGGCTGAAATTTATAAAGCGTACTTAGACTTTGCTCAGACTTTGCTTACGCTAAACTTACCTAAGTTCCTGCTCAGTGTAATCTTAGCATTCGAATTTATAGTCCTCTTGGGCTAAGAATTTACTGAGTGTATGCTAAGCAAGAGCTCAGGAAAAAATTTTAAACGTTTCGATTTGCATAGCATATTAATTTAAATTCTTGGTATTTCAAAAATATATTATTTTTAAAATAGCTGTAATAACCTAAAATATTAGTAATCTTATAAATTTTATCATATTATTGTATTTCAATCAATTAACACCTTTAGTTTTCATTGATTTTAAGTGATAAAAGGCAAAAATAACACATGTACAAGTAAAACAAAACGTACTTATATTTGACTTGTCAAATGTCATAACAATATTTGAGGTTGTCTCGTCTCGAGTTCATTCGCAAATATATCAATTTCTTGTATTAACTTTTTATCTTGACCCTGGCACACCCTTACGGACTTCTGTTACAACGCTTTCGAACTAGATTACGGCTTTTTTTCCTGGACAATCGAACCATCTTTTCATATTGACTCTGGCATATTAATCGTAAGTAATCGCTAAGTCATGGATTTTGGTGACTTAGACTATGCTAAGCATTTGCTCAGCTTGAGCTAAGCATTATGACTTAAATTTCAACGCACAATTAACTCGTGAGGTAAGTCTGAGCAAAGTCTAAGTACGCTTTATAAATTTCAGCCTAGGTGTGTTGGTAGGTCACTATAATAATTCTTATGAGTAGTCTTGATTAGACTTGCAACGAGTATTCGGTTACTATTCGGTATTCGGCCTATTCGGCTGCTTTTATTATATTCGGCCGAATACCGAATATCTACATATTATTCGGCCGAATACCGAATACTTAAATAATATATTTTGTCATTGAGAAATAATTGGTAAAATGAAAAATTAAAATCGATTGATTACGTATATATTCATATTTTCATTTCTGTTATAATCATTTAAGTAGTCATTGGTGCATAACACAGGTACATAATCATCTTCTGAATAGGAAAAATGGAGGATTCTATGTATTTGAATTATTGTGGTAATCAAAATTTAGAAGGGTAAGGTTCTCATTTCTTTTATAATCATTTATTAAGTAGTCATTGGTACATAAAACAGGTACATAATTTAATTCACGTCTGTACAAGTTTTTGGCGCTAAAATCCAGCCGAATACTTTTGCCTAATATTCGGGTATTCGGTCAGGGGCCTCGCCGAATATTCGGTATTCGGTATACTGCCGAATATACTATTCGTTGCAAGTCTAGTCTTGATCAAATTAAGCTTATTAATGCTTTTCGTTAAACACTTTCGAATCAGGTTAAGCTCAAAAATATTTTTCATTAAACGGTCCAATTCTTCAGAAAGGCTATCATCACAATCCTTAGAAGCGGAACGGGGCTACGAACGGCGGGAAACGGCATTGAGATAATATTAACAAATCGTTTGTGGGTGCAGAGCCGATCGCTGGCACGGCGGGCGAGCTGACGTCGGCGCTGAGGGACACGATAATAGCGATGGACGGGGCCGGCGCGGGCGCGACCACAAGCGCGGTGGCACGGCTGCTGCGCGCGCTGCACGCCATGGTGCCGCGCTTCGCAGAGCGCGGGCCCGGCGGCGGCCTGGCTCAACAGGACGCCTCCGAATGTTGGACTGAATTCGTGCGCGCGATGCAGACCAGTCTTGCCTCGACCCATGGTGGCTGTAATACGTTCGTATTAAATGATTTATACTTTATAATACAGATATTCTAGACTGTCACTTGATATTGGTGTAATTTTGTTTATGTTTTAAAAGAACTCCCGCATCGTGTCGCGGGGGACTTTACAAACATACATAAAACGGCAACAAAGAACACCCAGACTCAAACCATTAATTTGTGGATCACACAAAGTGTTGTTCCACGTGGGGATCGAACTCACAGCACTCAGTGCAGTATGAAGCAGTGAGGCGACCACTTGAACCACTACGCCATCAATGCATTTTAATTCCTTATTCGTTTTTATAGACAAATGGATGACCGAGTCTTAGTTTTTATTGTCTTTATCTCATTGAATGAAACCATTATTTATATTACAAATAGATGTATCATTTTGTGTACATGATTTGAATGCACTTAGACAGTATTCGTCCTTACAAAGTTTTGTACAACTAAATGAATAATATTTTTTAGAATCTATATAAAAATATTAAGATTGAGATCAAACTTTGAGACGATGTACAACCCGATTCGCAAAATCGGCATAATTTTATAGGGTTTTTCGGAGAAGAAAAAACCGGTCAGGTACGAGACGAACTCGTGCGCCGAGGGTTCCGTACCTACCCAGATTTTATGTAGATTTTCGCGAAAATTTGTAAGTACCAAAATTTATCTTAATTGTCAACTTTTCTTTATTTTTTACACGTTTTATATTAGCTTCACTTTTATGTTTGTTTGTAACCGACTCCTTTGGGCGTGATTTTGACTGACTTTAAACGGTCAGAATTCGTTCAAAGTTTATAGATATATCGAGGACCCATGACAATACACTAATTCAAAAATAAAAATACATATACATTAAATTAATTTTAAAATAAATATACCTACATTAAAAAAAATACTTTTATAAAACTAAAAAACACGCTTTTTATTTTCTATTTTTTAGTTTGGTTTTCCATAAAAAGCGTGTTTTTTAGTTTTTTAAAACTATTTTTTTTTTAATTATTTCTTTATTTGTGCTGTAAGACGTTTCCTTTTGCCAAATTTCGTGATTCTAGGTCAACGGAAACTACCATATATAGGTTTTCGGCCCAAAACCTATAGCGTACTTCCGGTTGACTTAGAATTGACAATTTTGGTTAAAAGCAAGGTGTTACGGTACAAGTAAAGAGAAAATAAAAAGAGTTGAAAGTTAAGGTAAATTTTTTGTACTTACAAGTTTTCGCGAAAATCGAAATTTGCCCATACCTTTTTATCGTGTTGACTCAGGACCTTGATTTTTATACACCTAATAGGGACCATAGACCTCAGTATCTGGTATAAATTTCAACTCGCTAGGTCTACCCGTCCCTGAGAAAACCGGTGGTGACACACGGACAGACGGACAAGAAAGTGATCTTATAAGGGTTCCTTTTTACCTTTTGAGGTACGGAACCCTAAAAATAGCTTAAGTTGCTCAACACATAGACAGCTAGTAGCTCCTCATGTAGTAAAATATTATCAAAATCGGTACAACAGTTTAGGAGATTGTCCGGAACAGACAGACAGACAAAAAGTATTTAAACTGGTTTTTAGGCAAAGGTATGGTGCACTAAACCTTGTGAGCATGAAATAACCTATTATTTTTATATTACAAACAGACACTTCAATTTTATTTATTTGTATAGACTAGTAAAACTATATTACCACTAAACCGATTGAAAAAATTCTTTCACTAATGGAAAGCTACATTATCAGTGAGTACTATATTACTCTTACTACTTTTTACGGCGATAACCGACGTACACGCGGGCGGTGCCGCAGGCAAAAGCTAGTATTGTTCAATAAAATTTTAATGTAACAGTCAATGTCAACAACTAAATTGTTGACATTGACTGTCGACTGTCGATTTGTATTATATCTATTAAAGTCAACTATTACAACTAGCAGATCCAACAGACATTGCCCTGCCCAAATTTACTTTTTGGTGGCATAATTGATTTCGATAGTAACATAAATTATATGCGTAAAAAACAAACATTCACACAACAATTGTAGCGTCGCCTGATGAGTCCATTTGACAAACTAAAATATCTAGAAGCCCACTCAAAAACAGAAATCTTTTGGTCTTAGAGGCAAATTCATTCAATTCATGCACACACAAAAATCATCAAAATCGGTCTAACGGTTAAGTGTACTTGTCATTTTCAATTTCATTGTCAGCCATTACCAAGATATATTTTTAAAGTAATAGGTTCTGACAAAGCCAACAATTCACCTCAGCGCAACGTCCTCTTACTTGGCTACGCTTTTTAAATCTTTTAATTATATCTATGATATGTACGCATTTATATAAGTAATGTATGTATAAGTATGTTATCAGCAGTCTGGTCACCATAGTACAGTCTCTGCCTAGTTTGGGATCAGACGGCTGTGCGTGAGGTTATTTTTATTATTAAATACCAATAAGCGCTTCATAGACCTCTTTACTTTCGCCAGAACTTCGGTGATCGACGAATACTTCGGTGGCACTCTAGATGTGGAGTTGGTATGCTCCGAGGCGGATGAGCCTCCGACCCGCACAACCGAGTCCTTCCTGCAACTGTCCTGTTTCATATCGCAAGATGTCAAGTACCTGCAGTCGGGACTCAGATCTGTGAGTTATTACATGTAGTCAAGTTAATGTGTTAACGTTACGACACATGTTTATGTCTTTAGCTAACAATAATAAATTTTATTTTATTTTCAGAAAATGTCAGAGCAAATCACCAAAATGTCACCGACATTAGGAAGGGATGCCATTTACACAAAAACTGTAAGTTTAATGGGATCTGATAAAATCGTTTGAACTGTTAAGAAAATAACCAATATTGAATTATAATTAAACAGTGCATTGTAGACATGTAGTATTGATACATTACTGTTATTTAGTTTATAAGCCATCTTATAACCAGATCTGGCAAAAATTCTTTATTCTTTATAAATAATATCAGACCTGATATTCTTGCGTAGATATATCTTCAATGGTTAGTTTAGTTTTGTCATTATACTGTAGATAATTGTAAAAAATATTAGGTCCTTACTTACACATGAAATTAGCGTTTTGTCGAATTTCATATTTAGACTTGTGTATATGTGTTTCGTATTTAGAAGTACTTCTGTACTTCATTTGTTTTCACGCCATTTGTTCTGCCATCGTTCTGTTCACAAAATGGTAAACTTAAAATATCATATTATTTACGAATACGAGTTCCACTGTGGCACCAGCGCTACTGAAATAGCACGAAGGATTAATTTGTTTACGGAAACTATTCAAAAAGAAAGCACTGTACGTTTTTTTGAGCACTGGAAATTTTAACCAGAACAAACAACAACAACAACTCCTGGACGGCTGGAGACTCAAGTTGACAGTGTAGATCCATTCTTTCATTTCTCGCTCCCACATTTTTTTCAGCAATGGAATTAATTAACTACTTATTAACTCGCTAGTGGTAAATACTTCGATTGTTTATACAACATAAAGTAAAACGGAAAAAATGAAATTATATTAAAATAAAATATATATTTTAATTTTTCTTATACACCATAAGGACCTAATATATAGTTAATAATAACAAACATTTATTTGCTAATATGGGTACAATAGTAAAGTTGTTACAAAGATTACTTTCGTTCCTCCATATTCCAGATTATGGCATGCGAGAAAAACTTATGCATGAAAAACTTGTCTGTCTAATCTATCTGTATTGCTGTTCCCTCTCTCAGAGTAAAATCAGTCGTCTGCCAGCATATTTGACGGTGCAGTTCGTTCGTTTTTACTACAAGGAGAAGGAGTCCATCAACGCAAAAATCCTTAAAGACGTGAAGTTTCCTCTCGAGCTGGACGTATACGAACTTTGCTCGCCCGAGCTGCAAGAGAGGCTTGCTCCTATGAGGACAAAGTTCAAAGTGAGTTCAACTTAACTGTGTTGTTTCATCCATATTTATCTATTTAGTTTTTTTTATTTTTATTATTATTTATATTTTACAACCTGAAATTACTTCAATGAGTTATTGACTATTACATTCCTCATAAAATTGTCATTGAAGTAAGGAAAAAAAAAACTCGACTACGTGAAAATGTATACAAAGAATTCACAAACCGGCGATATGAATTTTATCATTTTCAAACATATCCATTGTCACAATCAGAATTAAGACAAGTCTAACGACACCTTAAAATCCATTACTAGTCTAAGGAAGGATAGGGCCTGTCTAGGCGTGGCGACGTTCCGGGGGGACCTGAAATAACATGGTCCTGTTCTGAAACAATATGTATGTTTGTTACGCCTTCACGCTCAAACCGCTGGACTGATTTTAATAATATTGATATGGTGGTAGCTGACTAAGTGTACCCGAGGGATGTGCAAGGAATTGAATTATATATTGCTACTCTTTCAAACTTAAATCTACGCTCATTCTCACGTAGGTATCGGCGAGAAACACCGCGGGCGCAGCTTATATACATACATATTGGTAATATCTAATATATAAAATTATCGTGTCACGATGTTAGTAACCATACTCCTCTGAAACGGCTGGACCGATTTCTATGAAAATTTTGTGTACACATCGGGTAGGTCTGAGAATCGGCCAACATCTATTTTTCATACCCCTAAATGACAAGGGTAACCCACCCCTAACTATTTTTTTTCAATATTTCCTAGAAATAATGTATAACGCAAAACAACGTTTGCCGGGTCAGCTAGTAATACATATATATTTGTAACCGTAAAGAAAACTTCTCGAAAGAGAGTGGCAAATCTATCGACCATTAAAACAACTTGCTGTTGTAAAACTTAATATTATAAAACACAATGTGTTTTGTTTTAGAATTATGAAGAAAGTAAAATAGAGTCATCAATCAGTTCGAAAAACAAAAACCACGGCGATGATGACGACAGCATAGGACTACACTCAGAGAACACGAGCGCACCTTTTTCGTTCGCGGATGGTAAGCTTTGTTTTCCAATATTTTAAAGTATGTATGGTAATGTTTATAGGTTATATTATTTCTCAACCAATACTTTATCAAATAGGAAAAGAATCATTTAAATCTGACTGATCGTTTTAGAGATAATCACCTAATCAAAAAACTGGCTTTATTATATTTTTATAGGTGTTTAATAGACCTGAAAAACTAAGACTACTATTATAGTACTGTTGTTTACCGAATTTGAGCTCTACTTATGTTGTTTTTTAATTATACTTTATTCAAAATGTAAAGGTGTGGTTGTATTGTAGTAGATCCCGAGGAAATACGTTAAACGTTGTAGATAATATAATCTATGCTATAATTGAACTAATATTTTGTTAGTAAGACAATTATGAACTTTAAGTAAATACTTAATTAACATGTTGATGGAATATCGTAATTCATTTGAACATGCCGGATATATCTGAACATCAATATAATAATCCGGATAATAATATAACAATAAACGAACATAAATATTTACTATATTTTTCGATGGAAGTTTCGCCCGTATCGAGTACAAATAGATAACAATATTTCCGGGTCAAATCTCGAAGTGCTAACATATCACCCGATTTCAAATACTGTAGTAACCTCCAAGGATATAAAGTATCCTTATTGCAAGAATTACTACATATAATAAAATAAAGTCCCTCGACGGGTCTGTCAGTCTGTCAGTTCTCGATAAACTGAAAAACTACTGAACGGACTTTAATGCCGTTCTCACCCAAAGACAGAGTGATACATGCGGAAGGTTTTGGTGTATAATTTGTTAGTTTTGTGTAAATTGTTGAAATATGACGATAATTTGGAAAAATCAAGCCGCCTAGTAGCTTTTTCAAGCGCATGTGTCACACCGATGACGGGACCTACTTATCCTCTTATCTAAGCCTTGGCGTATCATCACATCACATCAACAGCCTTTAATAGTCCACTGCTGGACATAAGCTTCTCCTTAGAAAGGAGGTTTTGGCCTATTATACTACGCTGGCCAGACGGGTTGGTATAGGGTTTGTGTCAAGGTTTTCTTCTCTCTGCAGTGCTGTTGTTCTGCGTAGTTTTCTCCCTTAGGCGGCTCTTACGACACCCACGGGATAAATAGGAGTGGTGACACTCTGTGTTCTAAATCCGTCACCACACGGACCTAGTTAGAAATAATCCATAAGTTTAAAATACATATCTATAACGCATAGTATTTTCGTAGACATCGGCAGCAATAACAGCGGTTACTACAGCTTAAAAGCTGTGCTGACCCACCGCGGCCGCTCGTCGTCGTCGGGTCACTACGTGGCGTGGACGCTACGCAAGAACACATGGGTGCGCTGTGACGACGACTCCGTCACGCCTGTCACCGAGGAACAGGTGCTTAAGCTCAGCGGCGGAGGTGAGTCATTTCAGGAAATGATATTCCATGTCTCACAGGCGACAGTCTTCCCACACTACACAGAGCCTATGCTATGGTAACCAGACTGCTGATAAACATACTTATATATTTCTAAATACATACATATTATAGATAAATTACACCCAGACACAACAAAAAATCGTGCTCATCATCTTCAACAACCTTTAATAGTCCACTGCTGAACATATACCTCTCCTTACAAAAAGGGTTTAAAGTTCTCGCTTCACTCTTTTTTTCGTGCTCATCACACAATTATTTGGCCTAGGTGGGAATCGAACCTACGACCTTCACCATACCAGTCAGGGTCACTAGACTAACAGGCCCGTCGAAATCAACTATATTAACCAGTTAATGACCCTGTCCTAGTGCCTTCTCAAATATAAAACGGAGATCGGTTACGCAGACCAATTTCAGCTACTCCAGCCTAAGTCCCGTTTCCCCATCCAGGCCTATACCTTACCCTAGCTCACTCCCCTAATCGTTTTCTTGACCCATATATACCTCCTTCATTTCTCACCTGAATATGATTACATCCCAAGGAGGTTTGACGTTAGAAAAGCGCGACTTCAAATATTTTCTGAAGATGACAAAAAAAATGATGATGATAATGGATTAATAATATTTTTTGACTTTAATTTTAATGGAAACAAAGACAGATTATAATATCTCTGTATCCAATGAGTATTTTGTACTACAATACAATATTGGGTTTACACATGTGTGTTGGTGATTTAAAGTGAATGCTTGTTACTCAAAGTATTGCACATAAGGTTAACGTGGGACATATTTGTTAAGCTAACGATTTATTTTCATTATGATAACATATGAAATCTGTTTTGATATAATAGCTAAAATTATTAGTTAGGTCCTATTATTGACTATGCCGGCGTCAGCTATCTCGATCTCAATGAAGACCAATTAGTTATCTAGTTTATACTCGGAAGACTTCAGAACCTGTACTATGATAATGAGACTGCTAATTAACATACTTATATATTTTTAAATATTATAGATATTACACCTAAATACAGAACAATGTTCGTCTATTTATACACATTTATAATAAACTAATTGGTACACAGGCGATTGGCACTGCGCGTATTTACTCCTGTACGGACCCAAAAAGCTGCCAAAGCTGCCAGTAGACGAGCAGAAGCCCATGGACACGGACGCGGGCGAAGGAGCGGCAAGCGCGCCGACCACCGCGCAGCCCTAGGGCGCCCCCGGGACCACTCACTCTCTATTATCTAATCCGACATCTAACTATTCAAAAGAGGTGTTATGTGCATTATGCCCAATTCATTTTTTTTTAAGAACTTCCAAGAGGAGGTTCTATTCGGCGTAATATTGTTTTTGTCGTGTATTTTTTATGACATATTCGCCGTTTGTAAACCGATTTTAATCATTTTTTTTTAAATCAAATTAGTTGTACTCAAGACTGGCCCCTGTTAAATTTCAAGAAAAAAAAATGTACTTTTAAGAGACATAAATTAAAGTATGAAGAATATATACCTGTATATTATAGCATATTACAATTTGATTGTAATTTGACATGATTAAGAGGCATTGAGTTTGATCCCTTTTTTAATAAATACTATCTTAGTTTCCCTTAAGTTTTTAATAAGATATAGCATGAGGTGAATGTTTATTAAAAATACAAAACCAACTAGGAACATCTAATGTAAGTAACAAACGGGCTGGACCCTTTAAAAGTCAAGTCAAATAAAACGCAATTTTAACCGATTTCTCTATTTACGCTTATTTATCTACCTTAAACCTAACACACTCAAAATGTCTATACTTCGCCGGTAAGACACGAGTGATGGTCAAGAACTAACACTTATGAATAATTAGATCTCAGAATAGATTGCTCCACGATCAGATAAGGAAATTTCATCAAATTCGGTACCTATAATAATTTTTAACAGACTTTTATACTATTGTACTATGCATTGTTCAAAACATATCTAAGCTTGACAGGCCTACTCGCTTTCCGCGGTGTGATTAACTTCTTTAAAAATTGGCAATAAATAAAACCAAAAATACAGCTCTACATCGAAAGCTTGTGTGTGAAAGTCAATAAGACCCAGAACTATTCTGTTATAACATTTGGGAAATTAGTAACCCAGTGGGCTATACTTTTTTTATTAATTTAATTATATAAAAATGTCCAAATATTGACTATTGGTCGTAATGTACAATTTATACATAACCTATGTTATGATAAAAACCTATAATTTTAAACGTCTATTTTTTGACCGGACAATTTATAAACATAAATTCAATGAAGCAAGCTTGAAATGAAGCTTTTGTCTGCAAGAATACAACATAAATGAAAGTATGAATATAAAATTATTACTTTAATTTAAATCAAAAGCAAGTGTTGACATGAAAATAATATAGAAACTTTTTTTTAATGTAACTAATTTGTGTACTATATGTACATAACACATATTTCTGTAATATGCTGTATGTGTTTTACAACTGTAATATTACAGTATTGTTACATTAACTTTTATAGAAATAGGTACCGAGCTCTAACAATAATCCTTTTCAAAATTGTGTCGAGTGGTGGGTTTTTATTATACTATTGTAAATTGGCATAGCGAATGCTGCTCTTGACTGCTTAAGGCAATTCCGTTGCCCTCATCTCATGTAAAAGTCTAAGTTCTCTATACAAAACGTATTGAATTTTATAAGACTAATTGTAACTTAACAATGATCGATAATAAATTTGAATATACATTGAAGCTTTGTTTTATTGTTTAGTTGTAGCTAAGCTGTAGTAATGGTTAATGGACAGTATACTACCAACATGAAACATGGTCTCGGGTACCAGTAACTGGGGAACCAGGTGTACCCTAGAAAGGAAATCCCTAATACCACCAACATGAATCTATTCCTACATGTTTTATTACAATCGGTACAACAAATATCAAAGAGAAAATTGTTTTATTGTCTTAAAATCTTGAGTTTATGTATTGACACTTCACGTCTTACTTGTACAACCAGCCATCATGAAATCTTACCGACACATGAGGGGCTACTAAAGAGGGCATAGAGGACCTTTCATCTAGATAACATGTTCCACAGAAAAAATATAATAGTGCCAGTAGTACTGATACCCACAGATGAAAACACCTACACGAGCGAAGGCATGCGTAAACTCTAGTTTACGAATAGAGAAAAACCAATCAGGCTAAATTATTGTCAGTATTCCTTGCTCTTATCTTGAGGATGGTATATCAAAATATTCAAAGAGGAATAGTACTTCAGTACAGAACATTTAATCATCTAAATATATATATATATATATATATATAATACTAGCTGATGTCCGCGACTTCGTTTGCGTCGAACAAACAGACAGACAGACACTTTTTTAAACTGGTTTTTAGGCATAGGTATTGTGCAAACAACCGTGTGAGCATGAAAGAAACCTATTATTTTGACATTACAAACAGACACTTTAATTTTATGTATTTGTATAGATATATATATATATAAAATGTTAAATTGGTTTGTGTAAGCTTAAAAAACTCAAAGTTGCACCGATTGATCTTGAAGTTTTCCGAAGTTTTGACACGATGTACCACCTGCTTCAAATATGGTTTGTATCTATTTTTCATGTCAGTCTTGTTCCTCGTTTCTCATCAATGCAACCTGTTCCACTGCGAAGCGTGGCGGGGCACTGATAGTAGGAGATAAATATAAAGCTACTCTCATGAACCCAGTTCTGACACAAATGGTAATTAAAATACTTAACATGTTTTATATTACTACTGGTACCTACAACAAAAGAAAAAGGAAATTATATAGTTTGAATATACCTACCTATATTATATTGAAGCCAGTTGTCACATTAGCAAGAACAACGTCGTGGTTTTTTTTGTTTGGCATTGATTAATCAATGTGTCCCTCGGTAACAGTATTTTTTTCCCGGATAAGAAATCTGTCATTTAATTTGTTTTAAACAAAATGTTTTGTTGGTGATAGTTTTGAGTCCTCGGCGATTTTTACAATGGAAAATATTGTTGAACAAAGAGTGTGCCTTAAATTTTGTGTTTCGAATGATATTTCTTGTGGTGAATCACTAAAAATGTTGCGAAATACCTACGGCGAATCGTGTATATCGAAAACAAGGGCTTATGAATGGTATAAGGCTTTTAAAGAAGGCCGAGAAGTAGTAGTAGACTTGCCTCGTTCTGGTAGACCTTCAACCGCTACGACCAAAGAAAACATCGACAGAATCAAGAAGCTAGTGCTCGAAAATCGACGTATGAGTCTGAGAGAGTTGGCTAGTGAGGTGAACATATCTTTTAAGTCCGTCCACAACATTCTCATTGACAATTTAGGCATGAAACGCGTCGCCGCTCGACTAGTTCCAAAGAGCTTAATTTTGTTCAAAAAGTGCAGCGAAAGCATGTCGCTGAAGACATGGTTTCCCGAGCTTCTACGGATCCGACCTTTATGAAACGTATAATAACTGGCGGCGAGACATGGGTTTATGAGTACGACATGCAAACAAGCCAACAGTCTTCAGAATGGCGTCTCGAAAACGAGCCGAAACCAAAAAAACCGCTGCAAAGTCGCTCCAAAATCAAGGTGATGCTGACAGTTTTTTTTGACTACCGTGGTGTGGTTCACTCCGAATTCCTTACAGAGGGAGAAACAGTGAATAAAGAATATTATTTAGGCGTCATGAAGCGTTTGCGTGAGAGTATCCGCCGAAAACGTCCAGATTTGGGGCAAAACAACTCATGGATGCTGCACCATGATAATGCATCATCACACACAGCCATTATAGTGAAAGAGTTTTTAGCGAAAAATTCGACAAAAGTTCTCGACCAAGCACCGTATTCACCTGATATGGCTCCGTCTGACTTTTTTTTATTTCCCAAGTTAAAATTACCACTTCGAGGAAAACGTTTTGAGTCGATAGAAGCCATAAAAGAAAATTCGCTGAATGAGCTAAAGGCCATACCGCAAATAGCCTATGAAAAATGTATGGAAGACTGGGTGAAGCGGTGGAGATGTTGTATTGCAAGCGATGGGGCCTACTTTGAAGGCGATAAAATAAATTTAGATGAATAATTTGTATTTTTTGTTTTATTGACAAATTCCCGATACTTAGTACACAGAATGTAAATATAGATAAACACATGGTATATGCTTTTTCTGTACCTCTGACGATATGTGTCCAAAGTTTTATGATATTCGGTCAAGTAGATATGGCATGTTAACGTAACAAGCAAATTCAATTTCCCATTTATTATATTATTGCCTGCTGTATTGCCGAACCAATGCAATCTTCAGACCTTCAAGAAATGGCGTACTCCCACCTCAGAGCCTGTAGCTACATTGCTATGCTAATAAAAAACAATCTGAGAAACAAATTGTCGCCTAAGGTATTTCCGAACTCCGAACCAATACGAACTCAGAACCTTAAAGAAAGAGCGTACTCCTAAAGATAAATACTGCTCATATTTAAATTCTCGTAAAACATATTGAGAAATACAGAAGTAGATAGACCATTGTATTATAGTGGTGGTATACACATCTGAGTAAAAAGGTTTCTTAAATACAATGATTATACTCCTTGCTTTCTAATAATAGCCCCAGAGCATTTACATGATAACCTCAAAAGTTATAAATAATGTCTCAACGTTTGCGCGTTTACTTGGAAAAATGTTTATGCTTATTTTGTGTGCCGTTCTACAGATCTTGCTTCTCTGATTGCAACCAACAACGACGCTTAAGATGTGCTGATTTCATTTGGGGATTTGCCTTGGGGCAGATATATTATTATTGGTTATTAACAAGAGTACCCTTTCCGTACCACATAGGTTTAATAGTGTCTGTATTTCTAAGCTTATTTCTTGGTTAGTGTTAATATCTAAGTAACAGTAGTTTCATAGTTTTTCCATTTTAAAAAGGTAAGATACGAAAAGCTACCTAGCCTTTTCAATAAAAAGACTGAAATGTCTAAGAGACAGGGTTTTGAGATTATTGTTTGGATAAATGTAAACTACAACGTAACGTAACTGCGACGTAGGAAATTTGCCAACTAAAATTTAAACAATGCTTAAACCTGGCATCAATTGAAATATCGAAATAATGTAAATAAACCCTAAACATCTGGCAACCATATGTATGTCTTAAGTAGTTTTTATCCAGTCTCGAAGGACCTTATGGTAATAGGACCCGCAATCTTTGACCTCTGATCACCGAATCAAACCACAGGGTTCTGCGTTACAAATTACATTAGCTCTATTTAGTCTTACGGAAAACAGTATCTTCTATCTTTGTGTTATAGGTTTGTGCTGCACAGTTTCCATGCAAACAAGATGCATATCCCTACTTATATACCCGATGTTCTGCGGCAAAGCTGGTCGAGGAGTCCTCAAAGTGGTCGTGCTTACATACGTAGTTGCCGGTAAATACTTAAAGGACTCACCTAATCCTTTTTTTATTTTCCATATCAATGGCATTTTAGCTTATTTTTAGACATTTACGTAAATCATAGTCAAAACAATCCATCTCATCACTTGGATAACTGTCAGTCCACTACATGGTTCACAATCTGTGGAACAAATTGTCGGTATTGCCGGACCGATGCGTCTTATAAACCTCGAAGAAAATCCCTCTATCGGCGGAAGTAGTCCCTCTTCATCAGGTGACCCTTCTGCTTGTTTGCCACCTATATCACAAAAATACATAATCACATCTATATATTACCTACATTTAAATTCAAAGAAATCAAAATATATAGAACCAAGATAGAGGAGGAATTGAAATAAGTTGTTGACGGTATTGCAAGAGTTATATGACAATGGCGCTGCTAAAACCCAAGTTTTTTTACTAAAACCAACACTAATTTTAAAACGGTTTGTTTTGTTAAAATATCTTATCGATCGACACATGTATCCCGTATTTTGACAGCAGCCCTACCAAAAACGTTAGATAGTCGTTATCATAAAGCTAGCTGAGTGTGTGTGTACGCGCAAACTACTTTCACATAGATTTAAATAATTTCATAAATTAGACAAGAATACTAGTTACGATTTAAAAAAAAAGTATTTTTACATGCAGGACCTATCACAAATATGGGTATCAACGCCCGCGAGGTGGTACGTGTCTTTGCCTGCAGCACACAACTGTCCTACAATCTTTCTAAGGAGGAGCACACTTTAATTGCAGAACCTTTTAGGAAAACTGCGCTCGGTGTGCATAGAGAAATGGATCAGATTAAGGAGACTTTACGGTTAGAGTAATTCTCTTATATAAAGCACACAATTTTATTTATTGTACACAAATTAACGTTTACAAACAAATTATACCCATAGTTCAGTTCTTCTATCTTAACTCTCTCTTCTATCTCTCTTCTCAAATCTTAACGAATTAAATAGTACAACAAATAAAATAGTAGGTATTTGTTACTTGCTACAATTATTACAGGCAAATAGTAATGTACCTAAATCGTGAACTTTTTACAGTCCATTGGCGGCAACTAGCTTCTTTGTAGTTTTCTGTGTAGTAAAAGTCACTATCCTCAAGCTTCCTAAAAGCGCTATGGGTGTTAAAGTTTTAAATTTATTCGTAGTGTTTGTTTTAAAACTTAACTAAATATTTTTGGTCTCCAGAGAACCGATGTAAGCTCATTCCGATATTATATTATTATTGACATTTGCGTTTATTTTGGTATTTATCTGGCTTTGTAATGTAAAATGTGTTTTAAATTTAATGTAATGTTTACTAAACTAATTTACATGCAAGTAGGTAGTGAATAATTTGTAATAGTTTGTAGTAGATATTCAGAAAATTTGCGCTGGGATCTCTATATTCCAAAGTATACCTAATATTATGGAAACTCAAAAATGTTTATCATTTTTGTTTTAATTGAAAAATAACAAAAGTAAGAGTGTAACTTCTCGTCCAAATCAAAATCAGATTCAACGGAATACCCTTCTACAACATCGCCTATTATAGCATTGGTTCTCTTCTTGGTTTTTATACTTAGTAATCAATGCATCATCTCGTATAAGATCGAATAATGATATTAAATCGTTTAACTTGTTTTTGTTAATCAGTTTTTCTGATGGCCATTATTCTTGCAAAATGACTTACATACAAATCAACACCTTTTGACTTTCTTTGTAACCTTCAGTTCTTTGTAATCCTCATTGAAGTACCTAAGTTCTCGTCCACAAAGAATGTAGAGTCTTTTTTGTGATTAATGATACTTTAAAGTTTTCGGTATAGACATAATATTCTAGGATTTACTTTATCGCCGAGATGCTAATGATAATTTTTATTGATTTTAAAAACACTTGTGTTTTCACCGTTAACAATACCAAACTGTGAATCCTTTTGTCTAAGATTTTGATTGATTGATTTTGTATTACTACTACTATATTTAACTACTATATTTAAATAGGTTTATGTTTCCTGGATCAGTATACTTAGTTCTGCAATGGAATGTTATTTGGAATTATTAGACCATCTAAGCAGAATGATTTTGGTTTTACCATAGTGTATAAAAGTTTAAACTAGCAAAAATGAGTGGGTACATGTCAGGGCAACCACGGAACTACAAAAAATGTTTCTCATAGCATAGAACATATTAAAAAAAATTCGACATGACAGCTGTGGGTTGGACCATACGATTTTTCCTCAATTGTTAACATAAAGTTATTAGTCTTTGATATGGTAAAATATACCTTATTCGGAGTGCATAGGTCACAAAAACTCGAATGTTTGAGATTACGGGTCTGATCATTTTTGCTTAAATTGGTCTAAAGATTGTACAGACTTCGCACGTTACCACATTTTTTTATCAACTGGACACACGAAATTAGACTTTAATTTAACGTAGTAAAGTATGCGACAAGTTCAGAAATATCTCGGATAAGGCGGATCACGGTAAAAAAATGATTGTGGATCTCTAGCTTGTGGCCTGACTTTATTTGCTTTAAATAAATTTTGGAATTTATATATAAACTAGCTTTTGCCCACGGCTTCGCTCCGTAAATGTAATTTTTGACAATAAAGACTATAATTAGGGTTGGTCGGATTAATTCAGCCAGTGTATCAGTCTAACAGTCAGTCAATAGATATATATTTTATTTTTATTTTTATTTTACTTTTAAAAAAGACAACTCCCGCACTAGGAAAAAATCCTGTGTCGCGGGGGACTTTACAAACATACATGAAACGGACACAAAGTACACCCAGACTCAGAACAACAATTTGTGGATCACACAAAGTGTTATTCCATGTGGGGTTTGAACCCACAACATCCGTGCAGTCTATATTAAATTATTATATATTGATTTTTTTAACAGGTCAGTCAGTGATATAGTATCTCCTATAGAATACGAAATAGAGAATACAGAAGAGATAGAACTGAAACGAGAAGAGAACGATTACTTAGACAAGTTGTTGGGCTCCAAATGTCGTTCCCGGCTAATTGAGAAGAAATATAAGTAAGATCTTTTAGTGTTTAATCTGGTGGAACTGCTCCGCTCCTGTCTCGCGTGGCGTGCTGTTAAATTACCAATAACATCCCTGAAAACATGACCCTCAAAACATTTTAAAATAAGCAATTATCTTTAAACCAAGTGACGACAGCAAAACAAACGCTTCTGCTTTATTTTGTTATGTAGTACCTATCTATAGATTAACTGTTCATTTCCTTACACTTATTTTTTATAAATTTTCTAAGATCCCTATTACCTTTACAAGAAGATTTTACCCATCTACAACTTATCGATAAGAAGAATATCTACCAAAATATGTATAAGAAGAAGTTTGAGTACCGTTGTGAGAATTTACTGACGCATGCTATTTCCACTTGTACGGAAGCGTTTGACATAGCATATGACCAATGTCTAGCTGCATTGAGGGTTAATAGTTCATTGATGTGCCGGCCACTGAAGTTGGATCATGCTTGCCAAATAGTACATATTATTGGTAGCAACGCAACATGTGATAGTACGAAGCAGGTGGGATATAAACAGTTAACTGTCGATTTCACCTAGGTTTGTCGTTGTTTTGTGTACCTCCTCCCTCCCTTCTCTATTTCTTTTTCTTTTGTTGTCTTTCTTTTGTTCTTTTGTTTTCTGTTGTTGTTGTCCCATGTGGGGTTTGAACCCACAACACTTCAGCGTAATAGAAAGCGGCGTGGCGACCGCTTAAACCACTACGCCATCCGTGCAGGCGGTATTTACTGAGTATGCCCAAGAAAATTTAGCTTTGGCTCGCCCTTGCCTTACCGTTGTCTTAAACAGTAGTAGTAGAGGAGTGGATTATATGAATTATCCGCTACTACACATCGCTAGTATTCTACCGACGACGACGGGAACGCAAAAGGACTACCAAAAAGGATGTACCAAAATTATCTATACAATTTAAGAACGTTTTATGCAAATATATAATGCACTTTAAACCGCAGAGGACTGTTTTGCGCTAACACTATACAATACAAACGACGCAATGTCATACTACCCGTGTCTGTATTGCCTAATTTTCTGTCTTTTAAATGCTAGCGATTTGAAAACAAGCATAAATTAAAAGAAAAACTTAAATACCCCTTCAAGTATTTCAAAAGAACTGACATCCTTACACAGATTAACAAATTTTATAGATCTTAGTTAAGAACGCGTTCACAATCGAAATATGTTCCTTTAAGAGCTACAACGTCATAGACAGACACACGTTAAACTTATAACTGAACTCCGTTTTGCATCGGGGGTGGAAATTAATATATTCCTACGTATATTTCAGACGGATCTTGGTTTCGAAGAAGGCTATATTGCTCTCGAACGAGCTAAGCATGAACTAACTAATAACTTGGAGGACATTAAATTGCAATATAAGGTGGCATATGAACGAGAGCTGTACGATATTCAGGTGAAAATAGTTTTCTTAGCTGATATTATTCTTACAGATAACTTTCTTATTGATATAATTTTATAAGCCTTTACAATGAATTGGCAGATTAAACTGAAAAATGTGCTGGTACACGACCTCATACTGAGGTTCATAAGTTATGTATCCTTCTTTATGTATATTATCTAAGTATGTATGTTCTATCCGTGTAGTGACAGATTAAGAACACGTAGTGTCACTATTCATCCCGTGGGTGTCGTAAGAGCCGACTAAGGGAGCAAACTATGCAGGACAACAGCACTGCACAGGCACTGTAAGACACAACCCCATACCAACCCGTCTGGCCAGCGTGGCATAGTCGGCCAAAACCTTCTTTCTAAGGAGAGGCCTATGTCCAGCAGTTGACTATTAAAGGCTGTCAATGATATATATTCTATGTAATATGTATATCAAGCTTGTCGTGACTAAAGGTTAGGAAAGCCTCGCAACCTCAATTGATTATTTTTGGTCTAATAACTAGATGCACCAGATTACTGATGTAAATAAATACTAATCACTTTAGCGTCGTCAACCCCATCAGATATACATACGAGTATATATCTATAGATACTTAAATCTCTGACGATCTTGATAGCTATCCGTATATAACTTGGATGACTTCTTCCTTCCTCCGAGTCTTTTTCCCAAAATAAGGTTGGGGTCGGCCACGACACGACACGTCTGAACTTCGACTCTTACGTGGACCGACGGCCATCAGACCTCCACAACCCAAGTACCTACTAGGCGATTTCGAAGTTCTGTAGACTGTTGTCGGACTTTATAGGGCTCATACTACCCGTAACGATTGCAACAGATGTTCGTATGACAACCAAAGCTTTGATGACTATGCTAGTATAATTATTAATATTTGTAATAATTATTTTGTATAGTGGGCGTTAGGCAGGTATAGTACATTGCACTGTGCAATGCGTTATGTTACGTGTGCCACTCACGTGACGTGCCGTCATATATCGAGAAGCTTCAACTCTTCTTTTCTTAATAATAAGGATGCAAAAGAAACCGGTGAACGCGTCATCCATGCATTCGAAGAGAAGATTACATTAATGGGGACAGTAGCTGTCGCTTTAAACTTGTACGTGGCGTTTCTGTTTCTTCGCATCTTGGTAGCAGCCGTAAACTACCACGACAGATATCTCACGAATATTGAATACGATAACATATACATAACAAAGTACTTCAAGCAGTTGGACGAGAGGCGGGAGATGAGAGGCGACATGACATTATTGCCGTTGAAAAAGGTGAGAGAAACATGGTTTATAAAATCTTATATAATAATATATATTGTTATACATCTGTAGTTGTTTTTTTGGTAGTAAAATGTATTAACACTTTATACCAGCAGCCTTTATACTAATTACACTAAAAATACCTTCAATGCTCTGCGCATCCAGTACAATAAAAGTATCAGAATGCTGATGGGACTACCGAGGTTCTGCAAAATATCTGGTGAGGTATGCAGCGCATCGGGAATATTTGCGGAGGATAAAGTTGATTGTTTTTACACAATTATTCGCAAAAGGGTGCCCTCACTGATGCGCGGTGTGCGCCAGAGCACTCTTCTAAGTACATAATTACCTATACTGAGGCATTGGAATAATGTACATATCGCACCTTTAAAGACAAACCGTTTCTAAACGAAAATATACAATTTTACACAGGAGCTAAAATAAGAAAAATGCAGGACCTTTTTGCAATGGCATTTAAGATCATGGTGGTTTGAGCCATTCTTTATGGTCATAATGATGGATATTTATTTACACTATAACATTAAATTCAGAAAAGCTATTTTTTTTTAATAGAACATTGTAAATTACGATTTTAAATTTTTATAGTAACACTTTTCCATTATCATTTTTTTCAATTATGATTAATTATTGTAAAATCCCCATATAAATTATGTAACAAAATATTTAAAAAAATTGAAAACCGATTATAATAATGATTTTACAATACTACTAAATTGAAAATTGTAACTGGACAGATAAATAAAATAACACATTCTAATCAATGTTTTATTCTCATTTAAAACGCGAGATCCATACATTTCTTTGACATTATGGCACTTAAATCTTTAGCATTGCTAGGATGTCTTAATAATCAGTCTTTATTCAGTATCTAGTTTTAAACCACAGCAAGTTGTCACTAAACTTCCGTCAAACTTCCGTCATCACTCTTTAACGAGCAATTCACAATTAGTATAGACACGATATTGCATTTAGTAAGCAAATCTTATTTAGTTTTGTAACGGTCAAAACCGACGCTATCTATGTCTAAAATTGGATTTTTTTGAACAGTGTCAAACTCATCGTATAGTTTACGTAGTTTTAAGAAAGATGGTATTAAAAACTCAATTCTCCAAAAATTTCGTTTAGTAACGGTTTGTCTTTAAAGGTGCGATATGTTGGCAAATACAAATACTAGTTTATGAAATAACAACAGATTTAATAAAAAAATATGAATCTAATTAATTTGGTACATTTTTTAAATATTTGGACATCATATTAAATAACTAACTTAGTATATGAAATTACTAACACTAATGGATTGTACTATCTGATTTAAAATAAATGAATAAATTAAAATATATCAAATTTAAATATTACCTACTATAACGTCTTAAAACTATTACTTACTACTTTTGCTTGTTTTTGTTTTGTTTTGCTATCATACAAGCCGCCCCGACATTACGTGGGTTGAAGAATTATTTTCAACCCGAATATAATACTCGTAGTATTATATAGGTACGTTAATAATAATTAAATAAACAACTACCATTATAATAAATACAGTCAAATAGTGAGAGTCTAGTGGTTTTAGAGATAAGCCTAAACAAAATTCTATCTTTATTAAATGACTTGAAAAAAGGAGTGAATATCCCTTTTTCTTTTTTCGGTTATATTTTTATGTTTGTTACCTCGGAACTTTGTCATTAGTGAATCGGTTTGGCAAATTCTTTTTTTTTAATGGAAGCTAACACTTTCTGTTTGGTACCATTCTTATTTGACGAATAAAATAGTATTTCATTAGCATATATCGGAATCTTGGGTGTTATTACTATCAAAAGTAAGGATATGACCAAAAATGCCCGGGAATCGGTACTTTGACCAACAATTTCCGAAAATTAGAATTCAGAATGATAGTGATTCTTGTGCTTCTATACAACGTTTTTTCCACGCAACAAAAATACTTTTTTAATAAGTAAATGAAACAATCAGTTAATAGGTACTTAAAGTTTATTTTTATAAAACAACAAGTAGTATAACAGGTCCATGTCCATTTTTGCAAAAACCAACAATAAACAATCTAAAACAATATAATGTCGCTGGGCAAACCCAATATCAGGCCAAAGTAGTTTGTTGACTAGATTTTCTAAGCTAGTATATCTTTACATGCATAATGTAGGATAAATCGTTTAGAATTTAGTTTGGTACGAAATCGGGTTTGACTTTTGACAAAGTATTGTGCAGTAGGTAAACTTCCAAAGAAAAACTTTGGGATATCAAAATTACTTAAAATAGCGGCACGACATGATGGCTGTTTTGACACATTAAATAAAGTACAGGAATTTGACGGAGGTCAATGTAAGTATTATTTAAATACAAAACTTAACGAATACAATAATGTATAGCAATATACTCCTTCAACGTAGTTATTAATTAATACGAAACTTGATAAGTGGACAGATGCCTGTTACTGTTTCAGAAGCTTTTAGCCCATACGAAAATATTTTTCGATGAGACCTATCCGTTTTTTTTTTTTTAATTTCGATAGGAATATTAATATATTATTAAAAGAAAGATATTCTGACTAATTGAGCTCTAATATTCATAAAATAATATCAATTTTAACTTTTGTAATGTTTTAATTATTTTCTGTTGCACTGTTAAGGATGACCCTATCTATTCATTTGTAAGTCTCTACTAATTTAATCTAAACGCTTAATACTAATAAATAAACGTATTCCTTAAACAAACGCGATTTCCGCACATTTTAATAATATGAAATATTTTTAACTCTCGCCATAATTACGGGAATCAATTACCGCAATCTTGGGAATATCGTCATATCCATACTAGAGATATCGTCTCAAATAGCACCCAAATTCCGATCACTAGTCATTAGTGTTCAAAAGAATTGAAAAGTTCCATTGACTGTTTATAATTATCGGGTATAAGTCTTCCACCCCGTTACCAAATATAGGGTATAAGTCAGTAAACCATACCTGTATGTAATAAAATTCGTTTGAAATTTCAGTTCAGGTCTATTGCGACCTCACAAATGTCATAAGAGATATCCTCGCAGTAAACTATTACTAAGACTAGCAAAATACCAATTTAACTTTCAGTCACAAAACGAGATAATCAAATTACAGTCAACAAATGAACAAAAGAATACCATTTATGACATTTGTGAGATCGAGAGTAGATCCGGACTGAATGAATTGTTATTACGAGAATTGACCTTCTGATCTACCGATATCATTAGTGATTGCCAGCATACCTGAAGATGTTCTTTGGCATCGCTTGCATCTAGCATAAAACATGCCCTATTCTGGGCTATGCTCGAACAGTTAGGGATATAAGGGCAAGTACTAATAGCCCGCTCATTAAGCCATCACGCAGTTCAGAGAATATAGACAAACCTTTGTTATCTTTTTTTTTCAACACAATGTCGGATTGGGAACTGGTATTTATTACGCTATTAACAGGGAGTTCGAAGGCACGCCGCTGTCCGCTGCAATGTATTATACTACTTGCATACGATTTTCAGCTTTATGTTAATGGGATAAGCTAAAATTTTAAGTAAATATGAGAAGTGCTAGAACATTCTTCGATACTTACTAGAGTCATAATCATATCTTTGGTAATTTGTTAAAAATGCAGGGATGTTTGATTTATTTTATGTAATTACAACATAATAAATTAATTAACACACTAGATATTAGACGTAATTATTAAGTACACATTTTATTTTTGGTTTTAATTGTTTTTTTTTTAAACAAGTTTTTACAGACTCTGGAAATCATATAGCATCTAAGTACTCATCAAGAAAAAACAAATAAACCTAAACTTGATAGGTTTATCTTGTTTAGAAGAAGTTTCTATAGACGCCCATAGAAACTATTGTAAAACTAAAACAGATAGAACTGTTCTGATGATGAAGCCGAAAGCCGTATTTCGGCTTCATCATCAGAACTGCTCCATGGTACCATATTATTGTATTGTCCCTAAAGATACATATATATATTAAGTCCACCAAATTTGAGCCCGATCGGATAAGGGAGTAGTGGTGCCGAACACACAGACACACATAAAAACATGGCAAGTTAAAAAAAAGCTAGTAAAAAAACACCTGCTGCTGTAAGTTTAGAAATAAGTAAAATCATGAGCCGATACACCATCCGCTCGTGACACGCAAACCCAGTAATTTTTAGACCTTACAATATTTTTACTTAAAATAAAAGTAGACCGAAACTTAACATTTATTAGCTGATCACGTAAACTTAAATATGTTACACGAATGATCCTAACTAATAGAAGTTATAAATACGAATTTTGTTTTTCTTTATTCACTTTGAAGCTTGAATACGACCGAACATCACGCCGTGCATGCATGTTAGAGGGTGCATAAGGCGACAAAAAATGGGGCGGGTAGGCCCGGGACCCGAAAGAGAAAAAAACTATGGCGCTGGCATAAGCTACTTCATTGTACATTTAAAACATGTTTTAAGAGACAAACAAGACAGGCGCGATCGCAGCCTCCAATTTCGGAAGGGGTCACTAAAAATTAAATATGTCGAGTAAATTGGATTTTATTGCACACATCGTAAAATGGAAGTCTGCTTCTTTTATTGGAAATTATTTCTTTGACGTCGCACCTTATCTATCGTTCTACGTTACGTTATCGTTTTCAAAAAGTTGCTTCTTTTATCTCTCGCCATTTTTATTGAACATTGAATCTGATAAACTCCGCAGTTATCAGATTGTTGCTCATCCCACGGGAACGCTACATTTCTACAGGATAAAAGTAGCCTAGGTGTTAATCCAGGTTTCAGCTACCTCCATACCAAAATTTATCAAAATTGGTCCAACAGTTTGAGCATGAAGGAGTAACAAACACACTCACTCACAAATTATTGTCTTTATAATATTAGTGTGATTAGCTTTAGGTAACACCCCTTTTTATTATATTTGTAGATGGAAAGGATCAAATATATAGATGTACACTCGATGTCGTATAAAAATGTGGAGCAGAATACTTTTCTCGCTCAGATTTTAAAGGTGATGCTGGAGATGGTGACAGCGACCACCTTTGTGATGTTAGACCGATTATTCTATGAAGCCCTTGATGTGGTACGTCAACATGCTCAAATCGATGTCGTGCAAGAAGATTCTAGGGACGTAGATATTGAGGTAAAAACTCCACGATAATGTTTAAGGTCAGCAATAATGTCATAAAATTTTCAAGAATTAAATTTTTAACGGGCCTGTTGGTCTAGTGGTTAGTGACCCTGACTGCTAAGCCGGAGGTTAGATTCCCACCCAGGACAAATATGGTGTGATGAGCACGGTCATTTGTTCTGTGTCTGGGTGTAATTTATCTATAGGTATATGTATGTATTTAAAAATATATAAGTATGTTTATCAGCAGGTTGGTTACCATAGCTCAGGCTCTGCCTAGTTTGGGATCAGACTGCTGTGTGTGAGATGTGTGAAGTTGTTATTATTATGATTATTATTTATTTATTATTATCCTAAGCCATCATCAGAATCATGACCTTCGCAGATATCGCTATTGATATATTTTTTATTCCAAGTTTCCTTATAATATATTTATAAATAAATTGGCCTGTAGCAAGAAATTAGCAGTCCACTACTGGACATGCCACTGCTGGGCATTGCTGGGCACTACTGAACCTCATTTTTTTAAATTGTAACCAATACCCTTTTAACATGCTGCGTTGCCATCATCACCTCTACAATAATATGACACCACACATGAATTGATCCCGTGGACCCTACCCATAATATATTTAACATGACCATTGTAATCTATAATCTATGAAAATAAATAAAATTGAAGTGTCTGTTTGTAATGTCAAAATAATAGGTTTTATCGTGCTCACACTGATTATTTGCACGATACTTATGCCTAATAACCAATTTCATTTTGTTTTGTCTGTCTGTTTGTTCAGGTAATCTTCTAAACGGCTGAATCGATTTTGATAATATTTTACTACCAGGTAGCTGTCTATATAAGGAGTAACTTAGGCATTTTTTCCTCTCAGGAAAGCCCTTTAAAATTTTGCCGGATCCGGGAATCGAACCCACTAAGGCAGCGCTTTTTCAAATTCCACGCGAATAAAGTCGCGGGTACCAGCTAGTCTAAACATATAAACTCACTTGCCCTGACTGATTCAGCAACGCAGAGCCTAAACCATTGGGACTACAAAATTTAAATTTTGGCATCTGATGCTTTTTATGTTGTAAACATCCACTGAGAAAGGATTTTTGGAAACTTCACCCGTAAGGGGGAAAAATAAGGGATGTATGTTGCATGGTAGTTCGTCATTTTCAAAGTTAGAAACACGGAATAAGAAATATCACGCGAGCGGAGCCGCAGGCAGCTAGTCGTCAATATTTTTTTTAAAACGTTGTATGCTAGTTGTCACTTGTAGCATAGGTCACATTAATATCTATTTTCTTAATCAATTATTTATTTCTTTTTCAACAAAAAGGCTTAATAAAAAGTAGCATATCTGATTTCTATCTATCTCTGTGCCAAATTTCATTCGATTTCCTTTAGCCGTTCTGGCGTGATTGTTGACAAACTTTCACAACTACACATATCTTAAGTAACTTGTAGCTTAGTATTAGACCTTTAGTGTTATAGTTATTACAAAGAAAACCTTTTGACGCTTGGCTTTATTTTACTAGCTATTGCCCTCGGCTTCGCTCGCGTTATTATTTCTTATTTCGTGTTCCCAATTTTGAAAATGACGAACTTCTATCATCCTTTATTTTACGCCCTTAGGAGTGAAATTTCCAAAAATCCTTTCTTAGTGAGTGCTTACAACATAAAAATTATCAGCTACCAAAATTTCAAGTTTGTAGTCCCAGCAGGTTAGGTTCATAGATGATGATTCATCTGTCGATCTGGGCTAATAATTTTATATAGTATAGATAGATATTATTAATATTGTAATGAATTACGATGGAACTTCTTCGTGTAGATGACGATTAGCCCTCGTCTTTTAATAGCTTTTAGGTGTAATGTATATTTTAGGTGGAAGGCTCTGGCATTTTAGCCTCGTTATTTCGCAAGCTTCTTGAGAACATTTCTTCAGGAGGATCAACACAACGCTCCTTCACTAACAAGGAGTGCGTACCGCATCCTCGACCCATGCCGTTCTACTATTACTTCAAGATATATGGAGGCTACCTTTGGATATTGCTGCTGTTGTATGTCAATCCGTATACGCTGAGATTGAGGAGGTATTAAGTAAAAATTATCCTATTCCCACCATCCGTCATCAGATCCTGGGCACCATAATACAACTTCACGAGAAATTTAATTATAAGTAACTGGGATTGTACCTCCACCCTACAGAAGACAAGCGCTATACACTGTCTATTGCACTTTTTTCCATTAATAAGTTAAGGGTATAAGATGAGATTAATAAAACGTTACAGCATAATTTTATGCTGCTATTTTATGTTCACAATATATATGTGTTCAAAATAATACACCGTAATTAATAGAATTATCGTTGCTGTTTTTGTTGTTGTTTAGTTAGTGTAGACTACCGATATTTATACCGATGCCAATGGCCACTCGATGGCATCTCAGTAGCGTGTCAGTGGTATGACACTGGCTTGGCGTGAACATAAAATAGCAGAATTTAGGCCTAGATGTTGTGCCAAGTCGCCGAGGTTGAATACACGACTTAAGTATATAAAATAATATACTTACTTGAAGGCGGTCTAGTTCATCATCATCATCATCATCAACAGCCTATAATAGTCCACTGCTGGACATAGGCTTCTCCTTAGAAAGGAGTTTTTGGTCTAGTTCATCCACCTAAAAACAAACTGTTTGTATGTTTTATCTGTTTTAACTATAGTGCATTTACAATGAGTTACGATAATCAATACCTTTTAGCTTTTCTTTGCTTTGATTAATTTTTGTCAGGTATTTTCGTCGTAAAGTACTAAACAGCCAACGTTGACTGTAATGTGATTAAATCGTCTTTTAACCGACAATTGAATCGGTAATGTGCTAGTTTTAGGAATACTTTACTATTTTACTACGAAAATACCTTTTATGACATTTGCGAGATCGAGAATTGACTGAACATTTATTACAAGAATTTGTTGTTTAAAATTTACTTTTTTTCAGACTTGCATGTAGCTATTTCTATCCAAAGCGCGAAAAACAACGCATACTGCACCTGTATAACGATATACTCAAGAAACGTATGAAGATGCAGAAGACTTTGCGCAGGTAAAAAAACTGCCACAGATGCACAGTTGTTCATATGAACTGACAACAACAACAACAACAACTAAAACTGTGCATTTGTGGCAGTTTTTTTACAGCTTACTAAAGTCTATCTAGTCTACTAAAATGTACTTGACATGGTGTCATCATGTCAAGTAGATATTTCATATTGATATCCCACATAGGATTTGATTTGTATGATCCAGAAATATTTTTTATGAATTAGTATCCTATCTGATTCTCTGATTCATATTATAAATACATACATATAGAAGTAGTAATAAACGCAATCATATGCATGTAAATATGTACTTAGCAAATGGACATGATAACATTAATTAGTACTGACAGTAAACAATAGTATCTCGTTATATGCTATTGTAAGCATAGTAACACAGATATACTGCCCTAGTCCAGAAGTTAAAAGATCAAGTATGAAGACGAAACGCGTTACGACTTGCGTAAACCATCATGTAGAACGCTGACGATACCAACGTACGAGTAAGTCCATGGGATGGTTACATTTGTTCATTTTGTTTAAATTACAACGGAGAAAATAAATTTGTACTAGCCTTTGTAATGACGCGAGCCTGCTTGCGCGTATCGCAGTGCTGCACAATCGCTTGTCTATAAAAAGTAATTAAAAAAATGCAATATCAAAAAATAAAACGGTGTAGAATGGACATTTCCGCATTTGTAATCACAGCCGTGCGTAGGCATGGTTCCGAGATAACATGACATATATTCCCTCTTTGTTTGAGACAGGAGAGCCGTACAAACGGTACGCGCTCACTACCTATCCGGTGAAAACCTTCTTAGCTTGAGAATGAAGTTCCCTCAACTCTTTGGCTGGCTGCACGTCTTTCCCGCCGCAAGAATGACATGCCTTATTTGCGGCGAGACCGAACCGAGGACTGGTAAGTAGTATGAATGAAATAGGGTACCTATTGCACCCGCTTTATTAAAGCGTCATAATAAAATCTACAGGATTTTATTATGACGCTTTATGTACGCGGACGAATAAATAGGAGAAAAAAGGAAAAAAAAATCTATCGACAAGTGCCATAAAAATTAATTAAAATTTTACATATTCAAATTTTGGACCGTTGACGCCATATTGCTCTGTAGTCCTGACGTCAGTTAGCTATATGAATGAGTTGACATTGTGACATAATAACTAGTAATTTCATTGTGTTAAAATAGATTAAAAACACTGAATTCACTGACTTCTTTTTGGCTAAGCAATCTGAATAATATATTTTTATATTTTTAGACTTCGTTCGCGTAAAATATGAAAAGCGCTGCCGTTGTGGGTTCGATTCCCGGACCGGGCAAAATTTAATAGGGTTTTTCTGAGAAAAAAATTGCCTAAGTTACTCCTTATATAGATAGAAACCTGGTAGTAAAATATTATCAAAATCGGTCCAGAAAAAAAATATTTAAACTGGTTTTTAGGCATAGGTATCATTCAAATAACCTTGAGCATGAAAAACCCTATTATTTTGACATTACAAAGAGACACTTCAATTTTATTCATTTGTACTTTTAGATTTTTCTCGTGAGTAAAATAAAATACCCTATTAAGTAAGGACAACGGACCTTCAACAAAAAATAATATATTTTTTTTATTAAATAGTCCATTTAAAACAATAAAAGAACACATACCTACATTAAATTATTTATTTTGTCCAGTAAAGGCTGGCCAAGAGAGTTGGCACCCCTGCCGCGTGTCAAAATGTCCGTTCCTGTTCTGCGGCGAGTGCTGGCGGGAGGCGGGTGGGCGTTGTCTTGCCTGCGACCCCAGTTTAGTAGAGCTCAGTGATATAGATTCACTCAGTGAAGACGAACACCCAAAGTATTAATAGAATCATGCATGTGTAATTGACTCCTAGTAAAAGACAATAGAAATTAAAATTAAAGCCGACTTTGAAAAATAATATTTGTTGTTATTTAAGTTTGTTGTTATTGTTAACCGACTTCAAAAACGGAGGCAGATTGGTTGTATTTTTTATTTTTGCTCTCTTAGAATTTTATAACACCCATTTTGTAAATTGATGATGAAGGAAAGAATTCCCATTTGGTCCCATTCAAATTAAAAGACAAAAATACAACTCCTTAGAGAGACTATAGGTAGAGAAGTAGGAAATAAAGCATACAGTTTATTCATATTCATCATGATGGGGTCGCATTGAAGTCTTCGATACTCTACAAGAAGTTCGTTGTTAGTTTATGTAGTAAATGATTTGACTAAAGCACATTGTGTCATCAAAAGTTGTTGTTTCATATAAGTTTCTATAGAAGTCATCATCATCATCAACAGACTTTACTAGTCCACTGCTGGACATAGGAAGGCTAAGAAAGGAGGTTTTGGCCTACTACACCACGCTGGCCAGACGGGTTGGTATAGTCAAGGGTTTATGTCAAGTTTTCCTTCTCTCTTTAGTGCTGTTGTCCTGCGTAGTTTGCTCCCTTAGTCGCCTTTTACGACACCCACGGGATGAATGGGGGTGGTGACACTCTGTATTCTTAATCCGTCACCACACGTGTTGGATGTATATGAAGGAGAATAAGTAAACAATAAAAATATTTATTTTTAATTATTTATATTAAAACAATCCATATTCCAGTTGTTCCCCAACTGTCAAGTTGCTGACGAACTGTATATTGTCGGCTACATCGTTGACCAGAGCTGCCAATCCTGTTACTTTTACAGGCTCATCTTCGTTCGTCTGAGTCTCTTGTGGATTAAAATTATAAACCAGCTGAAAACATATCATTGAAAACCATCACTTTTTATGGCATAAGGGTAAACAGGCACGGTTGTCTAATGGTAAGTGACTAGCGCCGCTCATAGACAGCTGCAACCCTTTGAGAGCAACCACCCTCCCCCCGAATAAGGGAGCCAGGGAGTAACTACGCATAATAAACGAATAATGCATCTTGCAGTTATTACCTAAGCACTACCTGTTAAGACATCTTCAGTCGCCGTACCTACAGAAGATTTTATCAATAAGTTCACCTTGCCTTAGCAACATCATTTTATCCTGAATAAAAGGTACCTTTTCCTGTACTTTCAATACCCCTGACAACGTATATACCTTGAAGTACAATTGAATAATTTCATTAAGATCGGGTAAGTGGTTAGGGCGCGGCACAATAGGATTTATAATATTAGTTAATACTGAATCTATATTAGTGTTATAAAACTGAAGAATTTGTTTGCTTGAACGCATTAATCTCAGAAACTACTGATTCGAATCGAAAAAAACTTATAATGTTGAATAGCCCATTTATTGAGGATGGCTATTATAAAACATCACGCTACGACCAGTAGGAGCCAAGCATCAATGAAAAACGCTGCAAAACGGAGAAAAATTATTTTTACCTTTTGAGTGGGTCAGTTAGTAATCATATAAAGTTTTCAACAAATGACATCAGAGATTTTACACAGCAAATCGCGTTAACATACATCGGGGAGGTCCGGCAATGTTACTATGACAACGTTCGCTGAACCGTGAACTAAGCAATCGATGGACTTTATTCTATGCAGAGCTTACTGTACGTAGGTACGTACACGCGACGAACCAGGAGCAACGTCGATGTGACATATCAACACAGTTTTTAACCAACTTAAAAAAGGGTGGGGGTGGGGGGGTTATCAATTCGTAAGAATCTTTTTTTTAACTAGGTGGTTTAACACCAACAAATTCAATAACTTTAAGTTTTATATTATTTTTTATTTATATTCAGAACTTGATCATTTATGAAACGATTCATTTTATTTTTACTTGGAAAGGTATACTCCCCGTTTCATTCTATTGTATTTTTAACCGACTTCAAAAAGAAGGAGTTAACCAATTCGGATGTTTACATTTTTTTATGTATGTTCAAAATTCTTTTTTTGGTCAAAAGGAGGTTATTCTGAAATGGTCCCATTTAAATTTCATAAAGATCTGATAATGAAATTCGGAGACCGACAACGGAACTCTTCAAAAAATGACAGCAAATCAACCGCGATTGCTGCTAGGTTTTTAGTGCTCTTTTTTAGTAATATTGGAAGTCGGTTCAATTTTTTTAAAGGATTTTTAAAATTTGTAAAGAACATATCAGTAGCTTTCATATGACACTACATTTAGCTGCTCTACTTGCGTCATCTAAACAAAATAGTACAGAACCAGAAGTAACTTTATCGATTGTACCCTATTCCTTTGTTTCTTTCGACTAACTCCTGCCCGCAGATTCGCTCACGTGGTGCAACGATAAAACATACCGTATATTCCAGTATGTAATTTATATTTGTGCCAAATTTCATCCCTTCAGTTATTTTTGCGTAAAAGAGCCCCATACATCCATACAAAGTTTCACATTTATAATATTAGTAAGTTTAAATATATCAATTTAATAGTATGCCAATTTAATAGTCAGGCAGTGGACTATACTGGAAGAGTGGCGATGTGCCAAAAAGGCTGTTGATGTGATGTGAATTTAATATAGTATCAATAAAGTTTTATCTAATACCTTTAAAAGAGCAATTCTTGTATGTATTTTATCTATAGATACTGAATCTCGGAAACGACTCCAACGATTTTTATGCAATTTAGTATGCAGTAGTATTCGGGGGGCAATAATCAATCTAGCTCGATTTTAAGAAAATTCACCAAAAGAAAAACCGAGCAAAGCCGGTCATCCAGGTACTGAAGAAATAATATTACCTACTAGCCCCTAAGAATGGGAAATCAAGGAATGAAGAATGGCCGTGGTGTCACTCCGGTCGAGCCCGTGCATTTGTGCTGAAACATGTCTATCCCACAGCAGCATCCGTTCCTCCGAAAGGATGTGCCAAAATGAATGAATAACTGTGATTAGCTCCCTATGTTACGAATTACCTACATCAGTACTGAACAACCGAAAGTAAATTTGCTCCGTCTGCAATATTTATTATTTCAGTATCTATTAGTAATAAAATCCAATCATAAAATAAGTGAAACTCGCTTTTAAATGATATTTATAACGAAATACTAACCTAACGTAGTTACCTTCCTAAGTACTTAAAGCTGCGCAGAGAAAGTTTATTAGTGGTCAAGATTTACCGTGTTTAATTAACATGGTAACATTAGGAAGTAGATAATTATTTCCTAAATAGTGGTTTCTGTTCACTGGACGTAGACGCCTCGTATCCATTTGGGTAATTGTCTCAAACCGCGTGATCTGCAATGCTTTCTGATATCTTTAACGTTATCTTTATCAGTCGCATTGAACCAGTAGCTAGTAGTGGTCAGCACAGTAGGTGCTTGTACCATATTACGTCATTGCCTCAGTGGTATAAAAAAAGGGAAACGAATAAACCCTCCAGAAAAGTACAAGTAGTGAATACAGTACAAAATTCAGTTTTTGTTATAGTGAATCCCCTAATTTATAAGCTCTTGAACCTATTTCCGACGCTTTAGAGTTTACTGGATGTGAAACACCGTTTTTGGTGGCTAATCTGAACGTTACCAGAGCGATACTCCCAATGACTTAACAAAAGACGGGGCCTTATGTGGATCTACTACGAGTAATAAATACTCTGTGTTTTGTCAGCATATTAACTCTCTAACTAGGAACAACAGCTCTTTGCAAGGCTGACAAGCAATCAATCAAAAGTTGCAACATAAACATTACCTGTATTTTTTTAATAAAGATACCTTAAAATTACTTAAGGGTCAGGCTTTTATGTTCTACGGGATCGACTTCCTTGCAAATTAATCCAATAAATTTTCGATAGAAATTACTCTTTCATGTAAGAAAAGATTACTTACTGACAAAAACTCATCGTAAGTGATCCACCCGTCATTATCTGTGTCTGCATTAGTGAACTTCTCTTTGCGCACGTCCATAGGAGTCTCATCGCCAAGGCTCTCCAGCACTGCTCCGCTGGATAATGTAGTAATCAAATTGTAGTTTCAAGCTGACCTATGACTAAGAAGTAGGTAACTGCATTGCACTGCACTGTGTCTTACGTGTTTATTAATACTATAAATCGTTCGGCAGTCAAATTTCAACCGTTTTGAATGATTTATATACGACTCCTGTAGTTTAATTATGTATTTAGACGTTTTTACATAATTTTTAACTTCATACAGTTTAAATATTTTAACTTTAACCACTTATTTTACATATTAGCCCTAGCGCAAGCTCATATTTAGGTATTTACCTATGAAGTTGGAGAGATAAAATAAAAAATAAGCAAAATTGTTCATATTTTGCTTATTTTTTATTTTAGCTAATCAATGGTACCTACTGGTCCAAATTATTTTTACAATTTTGGCATTTTGATGGCAGTTTGTTTCTTATCCCTTTACCGAGTAACCTGAAGAAGACTGCTAGAAGGGTGGCGATGAAGTCAGCGAAAGCGTGTTTTACTGCCTTTCGGGTGTTGAATATTTTTCTAATTAAAAAATTGTATAATTTTGAAAAAAGTTGAAATCTGTTGGAGCAAGATCTGGTAAGTACGGTAGGAGACGGTGAGAGACGCAGAAAGAAAAGAAGCAATTAAGGAGAGCGATTAAAATATATAAATTAATATATTAAAATTAATATAAAAATAAGTTATCAACTCCTCATATTATTTATATTTATTACACTGAATTATTCCTATTTACTGTTGGACAGTGTTTTTCACTATAATTACTTCTAGCCATTTATCATATTTTTAAAAAGGGAAGTTTCTCAATCAGTTCGGTGGAATATCTTTAAATTCTTGTAATTTCTTATAACGTAGGTACATAGATAGATGACCTTCGGCACTATAAGTAAGTAAGTATAGATGATCAACACCTGACATTAGTTTTCTGATGACCCAAATCAACATTTTTCAATTTTTTAATTCATCAAAGCCATTAAGCCGGCAGTAAAAAATCTCTCATGTCTTAATTATCTAAGAAGGAACATAAAAAGCATAGATCACAGACAATCCTTAGAAGTCAGTTTTCTTTTGCCTATGTTTAAATTCATAAATAAAGAATTAAATGAGTGCCTTTTTCTATGTGCAGCATCACGAATGTTGTTGTTTTTTTAGTAGATTTAAAAATATGGCAAAGAAGTTATGATATACAATATTTTAACACCATACTTATTATGTTGTTAAAATATTGTTCTTTGAACAAAAATTAAATAAGTGATTTATTGCTTACTAACAAGTCATCAAAACCCAGCATGCCATTGGACTGATTATCGAATAGCAGGAACAAACTGTGCAGGTTTGCGATGGCCACCTCGTTCCACCCTGGAAATCTTTTCACCATTTTTTGCATGCTCCATCTGCGATCTTTTTCTTTCATTTCCTATGGATAATTCATTCTATGAATACTGAGATAACCTTTTAGCAGTGGCTTCTGGAATGTGTAGCATAGGTAGGGTAAGGTATTCTTTGGGCACGCCGTCATTGCGGCGGTAAGACCCGTTATGGAGGATTGGCTCGAGAGGCGTCACGGGACCCTCTCATACCGATTGACGCAGGTGATCACTGGGAAGGGATGTTTCGGAGATCACCTGTGTCTGATCCGCAAGGAGCCAACGCCTGAGTGCCACCACTGCGATGGCCAGACCGTGGACACGGCTCTCCACACGCTGGCAGAGTGCCCGGCGTGGGTTGAGCAGAGGCGAGACCTCGTGGCGGCCATCGGAGTGGGAGTTCTCTCGCTCGATAGCCTGATTGCGGCTATCGTGCGGAGCGAGAGTGCGTGGAACTCTGCCGTCTCCTTCTGCGAGCAAGTTATGCTCGCGAAGGAGACGGCGGAGCGGGACCGGGAGAGGTTTAGAACTCTCCCGGCCCGCCAGGCCCGGGCACGGGCCAGGCAGCGCAGGCGACTCAGGCGCCGGAGGTCGCAGAACGACCTCCGTCCTCCATAGCGCAGGCCTGGGGGTGACAGGTGAGGCCATCTGTCACCCTAGCAGAAGCAGGCCGGGGTGGCGGCGAGCGCGTTGCGAAGCGCGCTCGCTTCCAGGGAGCACAGGGAACATGGGGTTCCCACACGGGGCGGGGGTCGTCTACTCGTCTGTAGATGACCCGAGGTATGTCGGGGCACCAGGGCCTTCCTTTCTAGGGTATACCTGGTTCCCCGGCTATTAGTACCCGGCGAAGGCGTGCGGTTTTAGTCGGTTCGAGTCCGACATGCCACCGACAGGTGGTATCCGAGGGGATTTCCGCACGGAAAAAAAAAAAAAAAAAAAAGGGTAAGGTATTCTTAAGTTTTAAGCTACTAGCTAAGTACTTAAGCAGACGGGTAAGCCGATGGGGACAACTGACTACCAACGCCCATGAACGCATGCAACTCAAAACTGGAGTAACAAGCGCGTTGCCTGGCTTTGAGATAGAAGGAATACGCTCTTATCATTTAATTAACTACTACTAGTCCTAGATGAGCCAAGTATTTTTATACCTCACGCACCTAGAACTAGTACAATGTGTAAAATACATTGACCATAGACAACTGTTTACATAACTGCATGTATCATAAATTATTTTGTTAATATGAGAACTTCAATTTCTTTAAAATAGAACTCGGAAGAGAGTTATGTTTCGGTGCATATGGCCAGTTCATACGGGTCTTGATGGAACTGATCCCAAAAAAACCAGTGTTAAGCAATTCTTTCATTTCATTCTTTTACGTTTCTTTGTCCGTGTGATTAAGAATACAGTGGTGCTAATTCTGTTGTTCGAAAACTCTCTAAACTAAACTAAAAGTCACTAAAAACGTTTCCTATTCTGAAAACGTAATATTTGACAGGACAAAAAATATTTTTAGTGATTTTTAGTTTAGTTTAGAGAGTTTTCGAACAACAGAATCAGCACTATTGTCACCACCCCTATTCATCCCGTGGGTGGACAACAGCACTGCAAAGACAAGGAAAACTTGAACCAAACCCTATACCAACCCGTCTGGCCAGCGTGGTATAGTAGGCTAAAACCTTCTTTCTAAGGAGAGCTTATAACTATTATTTTTTTAATTGCATTTCACCAAGTGAGCGAGGTCACCAGAGGCTAAGCGTAGCCTAAATGCCTGTAACTCATACAGATCTGGATCCAATTTGAATAACTAATATGAAGAATAACACTGCTACGACAATGCTTGCTAGGACGACGGCTAACACTCTTCGAACCCCGGAGATAATTTGACACTTGCCGATCTTATCTTTATCTTTAGCATTCGTGAAAATATATTTTAAATTCAATCTCTAACGCAACTTACTTGATTGTATTGTCTCTGCTCAGCAAGTCTCGTATAAAACAACTCAACTAATTTGTCATAGTCTGTCATTGAAACCTTTTGCACTTCGGGTAACTTCCTGTTGGGTTCACCTTTTATAAAATAAACCAACTTAATTATTTCTGTCGTATTATTAATAGATGTCTGCATTGTAATTATTTTAGTTGGTGACTGAAGAGTTGTTTTTATACGTAACTAGTTAATTACAAGTGAATCTAATTAAGTTCATAAAAAACATGTCCAAAAATATGTACAAATTATAAAATAACAATCCCAAGGAATCTAGTAAAACCTTCAGCGTCATCAACAATATCAAAATATGTTTGATACTGGGAATGTTTTTGAAATACAATGTTTTAGTTAGGATGCGTCTTACCAGAGGCAGCAAATGTAAGAAAGTCAACAACGAAGTATCATACAATAATTGCGAATAAATGCACTGATAAATTAAATAAATTTTATAAATTAAATGTATAAACTTCATTAATTTTAAAATATCATAAATTAGTCAGACATAAAAAATAATATTTTTGTAATTGTATTTTTATAAAAATACTAGCTGACCCGCGCAACTTCGTCTGCGTATCTCAATAGTAATAAATTTTCTCCGTTTTTGAAACATTCTTCATTGGTGCTCCGCTCCTATTGGTCTTAGCGTGATGATATATAGCCTATAGCCTTCCTCGATAAATGGGCTATCTAACACTGAAAGAATTTTTCAAATCGGACCAGTAGTTCCGGAGATTAGCGCGTTCAAACAAACAAACAAACAAACAAACAAACAAACTCTTCAGCTTTATAATATTAGTATAGATTTTCACTGTAGTACCAACCTGTGGCAGTAAAATCTTCTTGTCTGTAGAAACATATAGGTTTTCTCTTTACTGGATACTCGAAGAATCGACTAACTCCAGAGAACAATGCACTTAATTGTGTACCCATTAGGTAATTGTATAGTGACAAGAGTTTTTTTAATTATAAATTTGTTTAATAATATTTATAATGTGATATAAACAAATCTTTCAATTTGACTTATTATGTCAATTTAGGACAAGTCTTCAATTTCTTAATAAAAAATGAAAAACAAACTTCGTTACATTCGTGCGAAAATCTATATGGTTTTGGAATTTTAATCGTTAAATATATAGCATGACCAAGATGTATTATGTTGGTTTGTAGTGTGATATTAATAATGTAATAAGTATATATTTATTTACATAGAATCTACTAAAAATCTCTTTGAACGACTGATGGCCTTGGTAACACTCAACATTCGCGGTTTGAGCTCTAAAGAAAGTTTGTTGAGCTTTAAAAGAAATAAGTAGAGGATATTTAGAGATTATTTAGCATCCGTCAAGGCACGATAACCCTAAAGCGCGGTAACCTTTTCCACTACTGGAATGGCGACCAACAGTTCCAAGATAGTGTCAGATTTCTCGTTTGGAAGTCGCTCATTAATAAGATATTTACCTTCCATAACGTGTAGAGATTCGTGTACCAACTTGATATTCATAAACGCTGAAGACCGTTCAGGTTTACACGACAACCCTATGCGACAACAAATAAGATAGACTTCAGGATTCAGTAATATATTAGTGATTTACAAGGTGACAACCGATAATGAGCTGCGAATCGTAAGAGGCACTTCTTGTACCTACTTCTAAAACTACAACATGTGATAACCAATGGATTCGAACCGTGGTGTCTCAATAAGCAAGCTCAGAATTACTTAAAGAGCTATTGACTAGACTATGCTCGGTGCTCTTCTGTTGCTAAACTGATCAACAAGTTCATGTGGCTATCGGCAGTCATATGGCAATTTGTTATCACTCGAAGCCACACACGAAGCTTAACTTTCTTGAGGCTTTACGTCAGTCATTTCCAGTTGGAATCATCATTAGAAGCACACAAAGGAGGAGACTTTAATGATAATATTTCAAAGTACTCTCTTGCCGTTTGACAATCGCTGTAGTACAGGTCGCGGGACTTCTTTTTATAAATCATTTATTCATTAATGAATATCTGTGTCCAGTAGTGGACGTCCTATGTTTTAGACATACTTACCAATAGAAGGTCCCAGGACTAAACTTCAGGCACCTGCCCGTTTGAGATACAGGTGCTATCCTGACGTACTCGTGCTACTGCTTCCACTCCTCAATGCATTCGTAACAGAGATATCAGACGGGTCACTCGAACGATTGGTCACTCAAGTGAATGCATATTTTTTCTTTTATTTCATGTTCGCAAAGTCGAAATTACCCAAAAAAGAATATTGATCTGCTCATTTCTTTCAATATGTCGTCGACTAACTAAAAAGCCGTGCGTCTTGAAATAAGTTTAATTTGTTATCATTTAGTCAAGGATTTATGTGGAGGTGGAGGTGTGATCAGGCCGCCATACTATCCCCTACCGCAGTAATTAATCTGCCACCAGAGGTTCCCACTCTCTGGCAGCTCGCGGTCCCCTCGATGACGCATACCGCCGCCGACGACTTAGGATTGGCCCTCTCCTGGTCCCGTGCAGCAGTATTTTTCTGGAGCATTACAGCTTCACAGAAAGATCACTTGCGCACCAGCCCTCCTCATCCACCAACATGATAGTACTGATTGTTCGTAGTGACATTACATCGCTTGGATGTATTGCCAATCTACTTGATAACGCTGCAGGGACTCCAGAACAGACCAGATCTCGATCGAGTCAAAGGCCATCTCATTGTCCACGAATGCTGACACAGGGGCTGATTATATTCTTCGATCTTCTGTATAATCTGCCGCACTGTGTGGATGTGGTGCCATATCCGCTCCGAAACCCAGCTTGCTCCGGTGGTTGGAATTCGTCGAGTCTTCGCGCAAGACGGTTCGTGATGACTCTCGAAAACAGCTTGTAGACATGGCTTAGAAGGAATATGGGTCGATAGTTCTTCAACATGGTCTTGTCACCCTTTTTGAAGAACAAGACGACCACACTCCTACTCCACGCTTCCGGAGTTCTCCCTTCAAACAGGACAGCGTTGAAGAGCTTTTGGAGCTCCCTTAGTACGGGTTTACCTCCGGCCTTTAGCAGCTATGTTGTAACGCCATCCTCTCCAGCGGCTTTTACGTGTTAAAGTGGCTCTGGAGTCCTCAGTTTCGGGATCAGGTCGGGCATGCGAAGCGTATAACCGGCCATAGAAGCTTTCCACTTCCGAAAGGACTACCGGCTTCGAAACAACGACTTCTCCACTTGCTGTGGTCAACTTTGTCAGGTGGTTTCTTCCAAGAGATTGTACGAACACTTTGACCCTCGATTTAGTACGATCGCTCTTTCAATTAAAAGAGTATTGGAGCACCGGAGGTCTTGTCGTACGAGCTTACTGATCTCTCGGTTTAGAGTCCGCTTTGCCGACAAAGTGACAGGTGGGTTTTCACGTCGTTTCTTCATTAGCACTAAGGTCCTTTCTGAAGCTTTCGACTTCCTTCGACAGCCCTTCCACTGCATTTCACAAAATCTTGTACCTTATTCCCTGAGGTTCTGGTTTACGTCGGTTGTGGTTTCCACGACAGCGAATGGGTTTTCCAGTTTGACTGGAACGTTTCAGATCCTGTCATGGCTTGGAGCAGAGTTGGTCGGAGCCTGGATTTCATCAAACAGAAACGTTCAGCCTTAAAGTTAAAGCTGAAGAATTCAGAGAGCCTCGTACAAGTCGGTGATCACTACCGGTATTAAACCTATTGATTACTGAGACGTCTCTGAATACATATTCAGAGACGTCTCAGTAATCAATAGGTTTCCTCCTATCCGTCATGATGAAATCGATCTAATTTTTGGTCATGGTGGCGACCACGGTAACAGCGGAGGCAAAGCCCCAACCCCGCCCCCAGGATTAGCGGGGCCGCCGAGAACTGGTAGTGGCCTTTGTTGCATGGGGAGGATTTGCACATAATCGCCACGCAGGGCAGACGGGTTAGCGAACGCAGGGCGTAGCTTGTCACACCGGTGACGCTGCTGCTCACACCGGCCTGTTGTATTTAGCTACGCTATTGGGATGTATATCCCGCTATTGGTCGGTCGTCAGAGCCTCGTTAGTCGTTCAGGAGTGTATATGTATGTCATTGAAAAACTTTTTCAAAGAACAAAGTCTACAACCTCTACAACAACAAAGTCTACAACCTCTACAACAACAAAGTCTACAACAATCCTTTTAAATCTCTTTACATCTGCTCATTATTTAAAAAGTCCGATCTAAGTGGTGCCATTTAGCACAAAAATATAACGAAGATTTAAAAAGGTTGCCGAGCCATTTTGTTTTTCAACCAAGAACCTCTTTATTGTTTTTTTAAGGTCGAGATTTTTATTAGGCTCGAGATATTATCAATGACAGTAGTAAATCTAAGTCTGGTAGAATTTTAATAAACTACTAGTACACAATTTTAGTGGGTATTTGTAAATTTTAAGAAGTTAAATCAACTTCTACCATTCTTTGTCTGTAGTGACTTCGCTGTAGTGTAGTGATAACAGCATAATCCAATCATTTTGTATGAAATTCAAATTTCGCGATATCTTTCAGTGCTTATCTAAAGAGGTGCGAGGGTTTAAAAATAAAATACTATTTTCTATCAATCGCTTGATTAATTTTATTATACAAAATTCATTTAAAAATTTCAAAAATTTGACATTATATAGCGTCATACATAAATTGATAATATTATAAAAATCAATCATTACCGAAAAGTAAAAAATAATAAAAACGAAATATATGATGTTGGCAGTAAATTATTCTAAATTAAAACATAGGAACATTTTTATAAATTTGTCAGTCTTAATACAGTATTACAGAATTATAAAATAAGATAAGAATAAAAAAAAAGACTGTTGTCCACTAGCTATGACACAAGAAGATATTATGAGAGTTTGACTACGTAGGATGAAGGCATACATTCTTTCAGCAAAACGAACAGAAATATTAAAACAGTGTTTGGACGCTTCCTGATTTACAAACTAGTGAAAACTAAATAATTACATTAAATAGTAGACAACAGACTTGAGTGCGGTGATCTTACCACCTTTCTTTTAATTCAATTACTCAGTCTTAAAATTATGCATTATACAAACATTGAGGTAGAAATGGTTTACACTGAACACAAACATCGCCTCGGCGGATGCTGGGGCGGAGGAAATCTCGCTCCGACGCCCGACGAGGCACGTGTACAAAAATACTACTTATTTGTTACACATTGATATTGACAATAGCATTCGTCCTCCCTTTAGGTGCTGCCATCGCGGTCGCCGGATCAAACTTGATCTGATGCAGCTACCAGCGACAGAGAAGACGAATGTGCACAGTTACACTAAATCTACTAAACAACACAAGCTTCCTAGTTAAAGTTACAAAAATAGCACAAAAATGGTTCAATACATTCGCTAAAATCTCATACATTACAAGAAACAAGTTTTCTTAATAATGCCATTAAGTGTTGCGTCTCTTTAAGTCACACAATCTCGCTAAACATTGTGACCATCTTCATGTATCTACTGCTGAAATGTGTCAAATATTTGATTTACAATTTTATTGAATTGATGAATAATATAAAGTTGTACAAAAATTATCATTAACTTTTCAGAATATTATGTAGTTGTCAATTTTATTGCATTTATCACAAAACTACATTTATACTGCTAGTAACTAGCAGGTCTCACAAAATACTAATATATATAATCTTGGATTTTGCGAACATTACCAGAAGGCCAATTCTCGTAATAAAAGTTTGGTCTCAATTCAGTTCCGATTAACGTTAGTTCTCACAACTGTTTTTCGTAGTTAATTAATAAATTATTACTAAGACTAGCAGCTTACCGATTCGATTTTCGGTTACAATACGATATAATCATATTACTGTCAACGTTGGATGTTTAATACTTTACTACAAAAATACCTTTTATGACAGTTGTGAGATCGAAAGTTG